CCTGCTGTGTTTACACAGGTCTTCAACCCCCGACTGGAAACCGTGGGCTGTATTTTGTCCTTCAAAAAGAAATGTGTAGGTTGCTGATTTGAATGTGTAGAGAGTCTTGGGAATTGTCTGCAACCAAAAGCTATTACATTATGTTGAACACACGGTGGTGGCGTAGCACATGTAGAGGCAATTAATATAAGAGGCACAGAACCTAAAAATACATATACAAAATGTCCATAACCGAATGATCCTACGTAGCAGGGCTGTCTAGAGCTAGCTAAAAGGAGTTACTTACCATATTAGAAGCAAATTAAGGGATAAATACAGACTGCCTTTTATAGCATCTATAGGGAATATTGTTGATTGAAAGAATATAAAATATAACTTGAAATAGTCTAAAATTGGTAACAGATGAGGCGGTGCTGTCCCAGAGAAGTCAAAGTACAAACGTTGACTCAAGCAAAAAAACAATGTAGTCTCATCTAAAAAATTTTAGCAAATATTAAAAATAAGAAGTGGGTAATGGTGCACATGATCTATCTGTTATTGACTAATAATTGACACATAAATCTTTTCTGTAAGATTTAAACCTTTAAAATAAACCTGTAAAAATTAACTTGGTAGAAGTGATCACATAAGCATTTAAAAGAGAATATTGACAAAAGAATTATTATAGTCTTTACTATGAAATTTACATGAAAAAAATGGACCAATGATAATTATTTGACTAAAATAATAATGAAATTTAAAAAGGAGAGGATTAGCTAAATGTATAAGGAGTTCACTGAGAATTTTCTTTGGTAGAAGTAGGTTTTAAAATACCTTTTTAATGAATATGTATCCATATCCATACTTTCCATGATTAAAATGTTTGAATAGAATCAGAACATTATCAAGAATTGTTTTGTTATTAGGGGGAAGTGAATGAGAAAAGGAAGGGAGGGGAGAGGGGAGATCGACCTCTGGGGCAGGAGTAGCAGGAGAGAAGAGAGAAGAGAGAGGGAGGGGGACAGATAGATAGACAGATGGAGACAGAGAGAGAAAGAGAGCCATTATCAAGAATTAAAACTGAAATTAGACTGTCTGTGATCATAGAGACCCTGACCTGACAGTACCAAGCTGGCAGTGGTCCCCAATCTCAGCCTCACCCTGTGGTAGTAGCAGAGAATGCCTGATGGACAGAGGGGGGACAAGTGGCCCCCCGGAGGCCTTGATAAATACTTGAATATTGATCTTTTGGGTTCCTAACATCTCTTGTCAGAGACCAGCTTCTACAAGTATAACACCTACCAGGGTAGAAAAATAGATAAAGAGAATGAAGATATGAGTGAAAATAATAAAACAGAAACAGGATAGTGTTGGGAAGGAGCTCCAGTGAATACTGAAATCCCTGTGTTTAGTTTTCCATACACTCTTATATCCAATACAACAGGAGGGAAAGCCAAAGACTGCTTTAACATGATACATGGACAACTAGAGCAGTTACTTCCTTCAATACTGGAGACATCAAGTCACTCATTCTTGAGAAAAGCATTCTGCTGTTTAGGCAGTGAACCCACCCTAGACCAAGTATCCTGAAGGCAGCCACTCCCTAGGTCAAACCTCCTAATTCAAAAGAAGGAGCAGAAGTCTGCTTGAATTCTGACCTGTGGTCAGAGTGGAGAGGATCTACCTGGATAGGCCATTTTAATGTCCAAAATACCAAGCAACCACACCCTACACACCGACCAGGGTGTGTAGCCACACTTGTTATTAACAACTTTGAGCAATCTCAAACTCTCTGACCTTCACACAAGGTAGAATAGGCTCACATTTTTTGGTCTCCATACTCTCTGAAACAAGAATTTTAAGAAAAAGAACAACACAGGTTAGATTAAGTTCCAAAGAAATAAGAGAAGAAGGCTTTGATTTAAGATCTACTTGACTTACCAATCTATTAATATGCCCCCAAATGACCATAACAATGGCTTCCCCGTGTTTGGGAACGTGGTTAATATTAATAGTTCCTTCTCTGAAAGTAGGTTTTTCAATTTTATCCCAAACACATCAATTCTCACCCATACTTGAGTCCATTCAGTCCTTTGCTCCAAGTGAGAAACTTTAAAATATAGGCCACACTGTCCATTTTAGATCCGGTTTTACTTTCATCATTTTGATTCTCTCCATTTTGGATGAGAGTCCTTTTTCCGCTCCTGACTTCAAGCAGTCTGACACTGAGCCACCCTAATCCTTGGCAAGAGTTCGAACAGTGTGCCTGCTAGTGGAAACCTAGTGTTATGTCTTGGTTCTTGGTTCGATTACATCTTCAAACTATCATCATATTTATGAAACTACGGACAGGTCTGGTTCATTTTTGTTTGTGTATAATTTATCTTATTTTTAATTAAAATTTAATTGCATCATTTCCCCCCTCTTCTGTCCTTCTCACACCCCCTCACTATTCCCTCTTAAAGCCATAGTTTCTTTTTTTTGTTAAATATATATGTGAATTAATGAGTGAACCCAACCTGCTGATTCTATGTGGTGTTACTTGTATGATCTTTTTAAGGCTAACACTTGGTATTAGATAACCAATTAGGCAATCCATCCCCGGGAAAGACTAATTCTCCCTTTCAGCAGCTGTTAAATACCTATAGGGGTTGTGCCTTGTGAGATTTTCCCTATGGATACTGGAATGTCAACTGGTGGTTCCTTGTCTATTTTTTTTTTGTTTTATTTTATAAGACTGGGTCTCACTGTGTAGATCAGTCTGGGTCTTGAACTCATGGACATCATCAGCCTCTTTCTCTTGAATGCTGGGATTAAAGGCATGTGCCACCACTTATCAGCAATTTTTAAATAGATAAAAAGAATTAAAAGACTAAAATGATAAATGTTCTCCAAGTGATAAATAATTTCTTGATACCATTTCACATTTTAAAAACACATTTTAAATTAATCAATTGTTAAAACAGCAGAAAGAAATCTATAACAATGAAACCCCTAAGTCTTGAACCCGCGGCCACAGCATCTGCTTGGTTCTCCACTTTCCAAGTTTGTCCGCCAAACAATTTGGGTGCAAGGGATAAAGGATATTTATATTTCTGATCCTCTGAGTGAAGCTCAGATGTGATGGTGTTTCCCTTGTTGAGCAATGCCACTGCTCTGCATGGCACAGGGCACATGGAAAATGCCATTGTTTGTGCCTTAGGGGTGGTGGTTGTCACCACCCCCCATACTACCTGTGCGCTCTGTCGCCTAATCCTTGAAAGTTCTCCCCTGTGTCTGCTAGCATACTGGTGGGTCTTGTGTGGATAGGTCATCACATCCTTAGATTACCGTTGAGCTCTGGGGGAGTACATAACACAATAGCAAGGCTAACCTGGGAATAAATGTACACCAGTATAGCCTGAATATAGAGATTTAGGAAAGCACTGAGTACTGTTTGAGTTTAGCAGACTAGTTCATAGCTGACCCAGTTAACTGCCATTGGAAGTAGCACAAATCCCCATTTGTTAATGATTCGTCTTTGTATTCCATGCTACATACTAGGTATATACTGTCTAGATTGAAAAAAAAACATGGATACCTACTATTTCATAAACTTCATACATATATATGCTATGTGTGATATAAATTTATATATGTGAGTATATTTTATCTATAATATAAATTTTAATGCTCTTCCTAGAAGCCACAGGTTATCAAATAATAAGTTCAGGTGCAGTGTACCTCCCTTCAAGCTGTTGATCAGAGACCCCTCCACACTCTCAAACCTTGCCACTGCTTTTGGTTCCTGCCAGAACTTGATGCTAAGAACATTTTGCTTAAAGATACCACACACTTTGATCACAGAACACGGATAAATCAAGGGGGTACTGACCTGGGTGTGTAAAACGATAAGATAAGCATGTGTTCTAATGAAGAAGGAGGAGGAAATGAAGATTGCAGGCTACAGACCTGAAAATCTCAGGGACCAAGGGTATGGTTCCAAAGTGCTTGCCTGCAAGCATGAGGACCTGGGTTTAATTCCCAAAACCCATGTAAGAATGCCAGGCGTGGTGGCATGTGCTTTAAATCCCACTTTGGACAGCAAGAGACAGGAGGATCCCTGAGGCTCACTGACCAGCCAGCCCATCCTAATTGATGAGTTCCAAAAGAGGCCACATCTCAAAGGAAGGACATGACTTTCTTTAGGATGAAACCCGACTCCAGCTCCCCCCACATGATATGTGAGTGTGTGTGTGTGTGTGTGTGTGTGTGTGTGTGTGTGTGTGTTAAAGAAAGGAATTGCAGATGGCAATAAGAACAGTGAAGGCTAAAGTGGGATTGGATGAGGGTCTTGAGATGGTGTTCTAGATCGTGTATCTGACTGGGCAGGGTGGTGCACGCCTTTAATCCCAGAAATTGGGAGACAGAGGCAGGTGGATCTCTGTGAGTTCGAGGCCAGCCTGGTCTACAGAGCGAGTTCCAGGACAGGATCCAAAGCTACACAGAGAAACCCTGTCCCAAAAAAAAAAAAAAAAGAAAGAAAAGAAAGGAAGGAAGGAAGGAAGGAAGGAAAAAAAAACCTAGATAAAGTATCTGTCTCTCAGAACAAAAATAGTGGAAAGAGAAGGAACCAACCAAGAGCCAACAGAGGAAGTAGCAAATGCAAAGGTATTCAGGATGCCATTGGTCACAGAAGGTCATGGGGCTGGGGAGTCAGTAGTGCCTCATAAGCCTGGGTGCTGATTGCATCAGTTTTTTTTTCCTTGGAGGCAGGAAACACTCACAGTCTGAGTTGAGAATAGGATACCATATAGGTCAAGATCCTGCAGAAATGGAAACCCCAATCTAGGTGTGTTAATATAGAATGTCCTTAAAGTCACTGCAATGACCACACAAATAATATCAATGGTAATGTTATATCATGTGCATTTGCTCCAATTAGATGTGCATCTGGACAGGAAATGGCATTTACATTTTATGTCACTCCATTGTAAAATGAGTTTACATCTTGCCGTGACTACCGTCTCTTCTCATCTCAGACCAACAGGAGCTCCGGGGAGCAACGAGCAGTACAACGTGGGAATGGTCGGGACACATGGACTGGAGACCTCACACGCGGACACCTTTGGCACCAGTATTTCCAGAGAAGGAACCTTGATGATCAGAGAGGTGAGCTGGTGTAACAGCCATCAAAAGGAAGCATGGCCCTTGCGTGTTTTTTCTATTCAAGCTTTTACATGAATCCTTATAGCACATATTGTAAGTGTGCTGGCTAGGGAAGGCCAGGAACCTGTGCTTCTAAGTGGCCTAGTGGTTTTACTGTCTGCCATCTTCTTTTCTGTGCCCTTCCAAGTTTCTGCAGAGTGATTTAATCCTTCAACAGCAGCTATGCAAATCAGAGTATAAAACCTGAGCCTGAGGACACCGAACTTCAAAGAACAGATGTTCCCAGTGCCAGGAACAGAAATGAAAGTCGTCTCTTGGTAGAGACGGTGGTTGTGTTAGCCTCTCCCATGTGGATTCTCTCTTATGCTTTCATATAAAATGCTCAGTAGTTCCTAAAGACTGTGCTATCTTTGTAGCTCATTAAATTAACATTTGAAAAAAAAAACAGCAGCTGGGACTGGAGAACACAGAAACCAGCTAAGAGGTGTGCCTTTGCCGTTTGTTTTCAGCTTTGAATGCATGGGTGTTGTGCCTGCATGTATGTGTGTGTAGCAGGTGCATGCATGGCTAATGTCTACAGAGGCCAGAAGAGGGCGCTCGATCCCCTTTGCCTGCGCTTGCAGGCAGTTGTGAGTTACTATGTGGATGCCGGGACTGGAAATCCCCATCCTCTGGAAGAGCAGCCAGCGTCTTAATGCTGAGCTGTCTCTCCAGCCCATCAAAAGGGGGTTGGTTTATTAAGTCTGGGAACATGATTTCATTCGATTGGAAGCACATTCCCTTTCACGTGTCCTTCCACTGTGTTCCCTGTGGTCACCTTGTTAACCTGAAGTGCCCCCAAGCAATCAGAACCATCTTCTCTTTCCATTGCATGCAATTTTGAGAAGAAAATAATGGGAAATATCACCACATGTTTCCCTGCATCTGCTTTGTCCTCTGGAGAACTTAATGAACAGGTTATGGAGATGGCTTGGTGGATAAAGTGATTGCCACACAAGTGTGAAGACAAAAATTTGGATGCCCAGAATATATACACACACACAGAGAGTCATGTAGGTGTGACAGCCACTTGAAATGTCAGCACTCGGGAGTCAGAAAGGGAACCCTTGGGCAGGCAGATTACTTAGAGTAGCCAGAATTGGCAGGGCCTGTGTCAAGGGAGAGACTCTGCCACAGCTACCAAAGAGGAGAGAAATCAAGAAAGGTACTCTGCATCAGTTTCAGACACACACACACACACACACACACCTTCATAAATAAAACCATATGTTTTAGAGGATGATTGACAACATGAAATGGACTACTTAGTAAATTTAGGCATTTGATAAATGTTAACTATTTTACTTCATTTTCACCAGCAACTCCAGTCTCCTCTCGCTTCTTATCACTTGCTCCTTCCTCTAAAGCACAAACAGACAACATGGTCATTCCCTCTCTCTGCAGATAGGAGAGGGCTAGGAAACTCCACTCAGAGACTTTGCTCTCCACATAGGCCAACGGCCTCCCGCTTTAGTGAGGAAGAAAGAAAGTATAGTTTCGAGATGAATAAGGCCTCTGAAGTAAAATTGGCAGTGCAGCTGTAACTAGTCGGCTAGATCGCACAGCAACTTGCTACGGTTTTATTTTATGCTGTGTCGAATCTTTCAAGTAGACTTTAAAGAATGCTTTCACGTATGCCCGCGATGAAGAATGGGTTTGGCTAGCAGCGCTGGCATTGTATGCTGCTGGTATATAAAGCTCTCAGCATCATGAAGGGTTATTTTAGTACAGAGACAGGCGGTTCCTATCAGAGTTTACAACACAAGAGAGTGTTCTAGCATGAGCCACTCTTTAGCTCCAAACAGAAACAGCCCAGTCCCTAACACGACTGAATCTTTGCGACAGTCAGTATCTCCAGGGAGACATTTAGAACCGCGTATTCACTTCTGCTGCTGACCACACCCAACAATTCCATGTCATTCAAAGCACCCAACATTTGATGACCACAGCCACCAGCACCTTCAAAATCGTGTGCACCTGCAGCTTGTGTGAAGCTGATCTGCTGAGGGGCCCTCAGACCATGAGTCCTCTCGGTTTCCAAATTCTACTTTGACGAAGTGTGGATTTTAGTGTTTTTTTATTGTATGTGCACATGTGTGTGCATATATGTTGAGACCAAGGAACTACCTTGGGGGGTTTTCCCCCAGTGCCATCACATCTTTCTTCATTGAAACAAGGTCTCTCACTGGCCTGGGGCTCACCAAAAAAGCTAAGCTGTCTGGCCAGCAAGCCCAGAGGCCACCTATCTCTGCCTCCCAAACTCTGGGATTATATTAGTCTTGAGGGTTAAACTCCAGTCTTTGGGCTTGCAAGACTAGCACCTTATCATCTAAGCCATCTCCTCAGGCTCTCTGCCCCAAAGTGTGGTGTCTAAAAAAAATCATATTAACCAAGATGAGAGAGAGAGAGAGAGAGAGAGAGAGAGAGAGAGCGAGCCCATGGGGAGGTGGTTCGTGTGATTATGGAGGACAAGAAATCTAATGGCTCCTGTACATGAGGCAGTATAGCTCCCAGTGTGAAGTGGGTAAAGATGAGATAAGATGTCCCAACTCACGCAGTGAGCAGAGACTGGGAGTAGGCACACCATGAGCTGTGGGAACAACTCGGTAAATCCAAAACATTTACCACACAAGTATGAGGACCTGAGTCTGAAACCCAGACCCCATGGCAAAGCAGAATTGACAGTGCATGGGTAATCGCAGTGCTTTTATGGTGAAATACGAGGCAGAGCCAGGAGAACCCCCGAGGCTTCTGTTCAGCTACCATGAACGACACAGCACTCACCAGCAAGAGACTACCTAACTAGGCTGGAAGGTGAGGACCAGCTCCCAAGGTGTCCTTTGACCTCTGTAGGCAGCTATGTACATTGGCTCATCTTTACAAATACACTCACATGTCACACATAACATTTATTTTTAACAACTTTTCTTCTTCTGCCTTTTATTCTATTATGGTTCCTTATGGTTCCTATTGACATAATTTGGGAATAATAATCTACCTATCAACTCTACCAATTCAAAGGTTCGTCTCCTTGATGCTTAGAAACAATGTGACAGACATACCCAGAAATAATGTTTAATCTGGGTACCTTGTGGCTCAGTTAAGTTCATGCATAAAATTAACCATCAAATAAGCCTTAGGATTAAAAAAAAAAACACTAAAAACGCATGTATTTAAAATATTAAATAAATTCAGGTTAAAGTAAAACAAACTTTCCAAGTTTAAATTTTATGTTATTATGCCACAATTTAGCTTATAGGGTACTGTAAGTTCACTTGCACAGGGTGACTCACTCAGTTCATTCTTGTGTGAGTAGACTTTATTGGCCAGCTTCCTGTGGTTCTGTCATGCATAAAGTGCCCCTGTGGTGCACACCCTTGCTACTGTCTTTCCCCTGTCTCACCTTACACTTCATAGAACCATTTTCTACTCTACTAGAGTAAGCCGCATCAGCTCTTACCAGCCATCTTGTCTACTGGGGCCTATCTCGTGGAAATGCTATCCTGCTTTTCCTCTTCCCATTCTATTCTGACTCGACTTTCCCTTCTGGAAGCCTTTCCTGGAACCCAGTGGACCTCTCTCTGTAGCACTTCCCTGAAGCTATCTTTGCCCTCTCCATTATCGGTCCAGCTGAATGAGAACACTAGCTAGTGCCACGCAGCTTCTTTTTCTGATAAATAAAAAAGAAAGAACACACTTTTACAGAGTTCAGGAGGACAGCGAGGGGAACTGAAGGTAGCACACAAAGAAAGAAGACATTCCCAAGCTATTTATATGCATATTCCAAGGAAGACACAGCTAGTGAGCTACCTGGGTAGGGGTGGAGCCTGAAGCTAAAAAGACACAAGGGCTTAGGCGGATACCTCTGCTGTAGGCATCTCCTGTTCGCACCTTTGCTTGTCTCCCCTCTTCCCCATTCTCTCTCCACAGAGCCGCTTTCTCCCCCTCCATATTCTTGTGTTCTCTTCTTTTCTCAGTCCATTACAAGATCCTCACCTTAGCCCAGGTTGTCTGCTGACCAAGATTGGCATTGGGAACTTGGTCCTTCTAGTTCCAGGTTTCCACCCCTGGTTCCATAACATATCAGAGTAGAGCTCTCGTGGTGCAGTAGTGAAAACCAGACCTGCTGGACTCCACCACCACACAGCCTAGGCTGAAAGCCTTGAGGAAAATTCATTGGCTCTCTTGCCCTGTACTTTTTCCATCCATAAGGTGGGGCTAATGAAAGCGTGCCCACCATGCTCCTATGAGGACTCAATGGCACACAGTGCAGAGTGTTTAACACAGTACCTGGCTTTTGCTGGAATACAGAGCATATTTATGCTCGTCCTTCTGGGAATGGTGAGGCTATCAAAACCAAAGAGGTTGAGATTCTCTTACTAAGGTTCAGTTCCTTTGTGTTCCCAGGGGAGCACAGCACACAGAAGGCGTTTCATGAGAGGATGCTGTTTGGCTGAACCAAGGAATGATAACTCACAAGTGGGTAGATTCAAGGGTCATTGCTCCAGGCTTTTCAATCTCTGAGAGACGTCCCTAGCTAGCCCTTCAAGTCTTTCTTTAATAACCGGTGTAACTTCATCAGTTTCAAGACCTGGGAGAAAATGCCACTGATAGAAGAGAAACTGAGAAATTATCAAGTGACAAGGTGTGATTTATGCTTTGGGGAAGTTGGGGGGAAATGTCAAAAGGCTTTTCAGCACCGAATGGAAGTTGGAAGGAGGGAAAAGCTGTTAAGCCAGCATAAAAAGCAAGGACACTAAGATGGATGAGAGTTGAACTCCCGAAATGTCGCTTAGAAGATGAAATGTTCATCTCTGACAATATGCACCCTTGTGGCTCCCAATGAACACTGTGACAAAATGAAATGAGAAAAGGACCCTCGCTGAGGCAGTTTGTAGTTCAGGAAAGAGATGACACCAAGCTTTCTGGTCATTTCTCAAGCTTCCTTATAGACGATCCACACTCCTTTGCAATCTTGGGAGTCTGTTCTCTCTCAGACACCCCAAAGAAGTGGCTGCTTGTGTTTGCTGACAGAAGCAAGTTCAGGCTAGAAAACGTACACTGCGCACTGTGCAGAGTCTGGAAAAGTCAAGCATGGTTGCTTTTTATTTTCCACTCTGACCAAGTGTCTGAGCAAAGTTGCTTAAGGAAAAAAGGTTTGTTTGGCTCAAGGTATGAGGGAATACAGTGTACCCCAGCAGGGAAGGCATAGCAGCAGGTGGCTTGTTACATGATGCCCACTGTCAGGAAACAGAGTAGGGGTGTTCATCAGGCGTTCTGAGTCTGGTCCTTCAGGACACGCTGAGGGTATGTTTTCCCTCCTCAGTCAAAGTTCTCTGGAAACACACTCCCAGACCCTCCCAGAGATGAGTTTCCTGGGTGACCCCAAATCTAGTCAGGTTGATGATGATACAAAACACTGAACCAGTGAAGTGGCCAAAGAAGTGGCATGCATTCTTGCCAATACCAACCCCAGAGGGTTGGGAACATATTTGCCATGTTCCCAGCTGTTCCGTGTTAAGCAAACCGTTTCGTATTTCGTAGGCGTTCAGCAGTGCTGAGCTAAGAGGTGTGGAAGGCAGAGAGACAGGGGTGTGTGAGAGGAGGGGTAAGAAAATCATTGCTGCAGTTTGCCCTGGGATTCTTAGTGAACTTGTTTGATACAAAATATGAAGTCAAGAACTATATACAATAAAGGGCGTAGTTAGTAATAGGGGCAACCTGCCAAGCAGGAGATACTCAGTGTTGTGTTTATATCTAGAACATATCAGGAACTCAGAAACCTCAATAGAAAAATAATTTGCAAATGGTCAAGTTGAAAGAAAAAACATGCATGAATGGCTACCGGACACACAAAAAGATATTCAAAATCATGGGTCATCAAGAGGATCGAAATCAAAATCAAAATAAAAATCAAAGACTAAATTAGGATGGCTGCTATCCAAAAAGCTGAGAGTAGCGTGCTCTAGCAAGGAAGTGGAGAGAGGGATCCTGTGTGTCCTTGGTGTGATGTCAACTAAAATAGAGCTGCCATGTGACCCAGCAGTCCCACCACTGGGGGCCATTCCCAAGGAAATGACATCAACATGTCAAGAGCTATCTGCATTCCTATCTTAACACACACCTTCCAGAAAGTGGAAACCACCTAAGTGTCCATCACCTTGGAAACTGACAAGGAAGCTGTGGTCTGTACACAAAACATGAAGCTGTTTAGCCATAAAGAAGAATGAAATGCTGTTATTTATGACATGATAGATGATGGTATTGGGATCATTATATAAATGGAAGTAGTATAACTTGATCTCTCTCATATCTGAAAACCAAAGCAATGATCTCATACAAGCTGAGAACAGAAAGGTCCACAAGAGACTGGGGGAGCAGAGAGTTAGGGACATGAAGAATGGTTGATCCGTGAGTGCTAAGTTACACTTAGGTAGGAGAAAGGGGGTTCCAAAGCTAGCCAATTGGATGTACTGGCTTTGGGGGTTTTCTTTTAATCCTCTGTGTTCCCTGGGTTTAGGGAGGAGACTGATCTCTGGAGGAGTGGTTTGAAAACATTTAAATCATGTGCTCCTATCAATAACAATTTTAGAGCATTTTCATAAACCTGTACAGAGTTCTGTTCCACCGCATCCGTATATGCTTATAAAACACCTTTAAAAGATTCTTTTTGTTTTTAATCCTGTGTACGTTTGTGGGTATGTGCCCATGGGTGCAGGTACCCAGAGAGTCAGATGACGTTGGATTCCCTCCACCTAGAGTTATAAACAATTGTGAGTCACCCAGAGTGGGTGCTGGGAACTGAACATGGGTCATTTGCAAGAGCAGGGTGCACTCTTAACCCCTGAGCCCTCTTTCCAGCCCCACATTATGAGTTATCTTGAAAGGATGCCATAAACAGTGCTTCAAGTCCCTGTCCAGCCGTGGTGACTCTCTCTCTCTCTCTCTCTCTCTCTCTCTCTCTCTCTCTCTCTCTCTTGCCTACATCACAAGGTACAGGAGTTGTTTGCTGAAAGAGTAGACACTAACAAAGAGGAGAACAGAAGTCTCTATTTTCAAATGATCTGCTAGGTCATTTCAGTGATTTGGGACCCCGGTCAGACCTGATTAATCACTGCTTTGACTTTATGAATGGCAAAGAACTCTGTGAGTTGAGTAAATAGCATCTCTGCATTTTCTTGAAATACAGGCTCTTTTATTGGGAGAGGATATTGGTATCATTTCGCTCCAATGCTTCTTTTCAGCCGGATTTGACAATTATTTCTATATAATCTGGCACTATGGTCTGTAAACTCAGTTATCTGGTGCTACTCAGACACATGCTCACACGCTACAGAAGAGAAACTTGGCAGATCTGGCCCTGACTTTGCCCTCTTTCTTGTGTCATCCCTCATACAGTAACATTAAGTCCTGAAAATTGGTCCAGTTACTAAATATTAACAATGTTTAATGTCTTTATTTTCTTAGACAAAGTAGAAATTTCAATGTTACCATCCTATACTCCCCAGTAAAGCAATCTGGAGTCCGTTGCATCTGTGGGGAGGTGTTGATCTTTGTACCATCTTATTTCCCAGTAGATCAGTTTGGAGCCTGTTGCATCTATGATTTGTGGAGTGATGTCATCCTTTGGTTTGTTCCCTCTGTCTAATGGCTTCTGTGTGTTGCACCCCTCAGACGGCTGAAGAGAAGAAGAGATCTGGGCACAGCGACAGTAATGGCTTCGCAGGTCACATCAACCTCCCAGACCTCGTGCAGCAGAGTCACTCCCCAGCCGGGACGCCCACCGAGGGCCTGGGTCGTGTCTCCACCCATTCCCAGGAGCTGGACTCTGGGGCTGAAGTAGGTGCCAGGCAGTAGCCATGAATGTTCTGTTCTCCTCCATGAGGTTCAGCGCATTGATGTCGTCAAGACTGTCACAACCTTGTCAGACTCTGGAGTGTGTTCATTTGGTTTCTGCTATAACAGCTTATACCAATACTCAGAGAAACCACATAGATACAGCTACAGAAAGTCCTTATGTATCTTCTGGACTGATTCCTGTGTTATGTGTTGAAACCTAGAGACGTTAAATGACTTGTCCAGGACACACAGCTAGTTACTACAGTGCTTCTGCCAGAACTTGGGGCCCCTGCATCACAAGCCAGCAGGAGAATCTATAGACTAGTGAGATTTCAAAGCCAACAGTTTGGGCTCATATTTCCATTAATTTAGTCAACCTAAGCTTGACTTGAATAAAGTATAGTTGAAATGGTTTATGGAATATAGGCCCCTACTGTTAAGTAAATGGACAAGAGATTGGTTCTTTCTCCAAGTTGCAGCAGGAAGATGAAATCAGACATCGTTCCTACGTGGAAGCAGTCCTAGGGGAGCCTGAGTGAGCACAGGTGGTTCTTAGCGCTGGATGAGTTCAAGGCTGTGTCATGTGTTTCCTGGCAGTCCTGTGACTCACACAGAAGGCCCTCAGTGTTCTTCTAGAGTGTGTTTGCTGTTGATTTTGACATTACCCACACACTGAATTTCTATGATTAACATGTTCTTAGCATGCCCCAAGGGCAAAAGCTCATGAGTATCTTCAAAAGCACAACATCCTGTTGCAACTTCAGGCAGTGCGGGCAGCCATTTTCACCTAAAGTCCTATTGGTACCAAGGAGGGCCCCATAGAACAGGCTCCTGCAGAATAAGACTTTGGTCCAAATGTTGCTGCTCTCCCAGCTCCAAGAGGAAATGTTCTTACCTGTTTCACCATCTCCTTTCTGGACTCCTAAAGATGAAAAAGAAAACATATTCAAAACACTGCCTCTGGTAAGGGCTGTGCTGTGAGGAGGGTGAAAGAAATTTGATTCTAAGGGGCAGAGGGAAAACCTTGAAGGGAATCAGACTGGATCTTTGTGAGTTAGGAAATCAAATTGGATATTTGCAAGTTGGTCCTTAGATAATTATGGCTTAGGAATGTTGATTTATTTTTAAATAAAAATCTGATGACAAAACTAAAATTGTATGCCTAAAATACAAATACACACAAGGGGTTCTTAGGATGTTGAATACGGGTGTTTGTGACATAAAGGAATGCATGCGGAGCTTGGGAGATGGCTCTGTTGGCAATGTGCCTGACTCACAAGCATGAAGACCTGATTCTGATCCCCAGAATGTATGTAAAGGTGGTGGTGGTGGCTGTACCCAGCACACAGGTGGGGAAAGGCAGAAACCGGCTCAGTTGGCCAGCCAATCAAGCCACATGGATGAGCTCTGAGCTCAGCCAAAGACTGTCCCAAAAAAAGGAGCTAGATAAGCAATCAAGGTCACCTGACAGGGACCTCTGACCCCCCCGCCCCCACATGTACACATGTGAACATCACACACACATACACCACACATACACATACACACACGCGCGCACACACACACACACAAAATGGGTACTGTAGAAGGAAAGATGAGAGCAAACAAAATAGGCAAATAGTTATACTCTTTTGACAAATTCAATTACATCATGACACCAAATGCTAATATTGAATATATTATTCCCTAATCTAGTTCTGACTTCATGCCTTCAGCCTAAGCCTTTAAGACTTAGTTAAAGTAAGCTCTCATATTACATACAAACCCAGTGGCTGCATGAAGTCCCCCACGTAAAGCATGTGGCCTAAGAATTTTCTTAAGTTACCAAGGGCTTAAAACATCAATCCCCGAATAAATTATCTCTGATTAAAGAATTTAAAGCTGTTAGAGCTGATTCAAGTCTGCAAGAATGGAAGGGTCCAAAGGCCTCCTTCTAAGGGGGAATCTCTTAGGCTGACTGTTGCTGTATCCAGGCTGACTGTCCTGGGAAGGAGTGTTGATGTGGCAACATGTTCCAGGATGAGCGTTGCTGTAGCAACGTCTCTTAGATTTTGCTTTTTTTCTTAAGACCATTTGGTCAATACATGATGAGTTTTGACTTACAAGTGGAGATAAATTGTCAGAGTAATGATCAATGACAGGAGCACAGATATTAAGGTGCCACCTGCTATCCAACTGTAATTTTCTTTCCGAAACACTTATGGTCTGATCACTAATGAAGCCCTGTGCGCGCACACACACGCACACACGCGCACGCACACGCACACACACACACACACACGTGCACACACACACACACACACACACAGTGTCTGGAGAGTAACTAGAACTGGGAGAAACTGGACAGAGGCCCACGCTTTGCCTAGAGAGGGAACAGACAGCAGAGGAGTCTGTAGTCAGTGTCTAGGCTGAACAGAGCAATTCCAGCTCCACCTGTTCCTGCTGCACTGACTTCTCCTTCTCGCTTTTTGATCAGTATGGCATGGGAAGCAGCACCAAAGCCTCCTTCACCCCCTTCGTGGACCCCAGAGTGTACCAGACATCTCCCACGGATGAAGATGAGGAAGATGACGAGTCCTCCGCTACTGGTAAGAGAGCTGGCCCTAGAGTTTTACAGATAGGTTTCCTTTCCTGTACAACCCAGGGACGAGACTCACCAACTCAGCTTACACCACTTATTGCTGATGCCCAGTCTCTGGATAAAAATACTTTAAAATGTATTACTTGGTGGAACTCCTGAAGCAAATTACTTTCTCCCCACAACCTGACTTTTTTTTTTTCTTTCTGTTTCTGGAAGAAACCCAGAGGTATCCCGGGATGCTAGGAAAAGCGACCCTGCAGCGATCTCCAAACACACCGCATATTTCTCAAAAACAGTTTCTGGGTATAATGCTATGCTCGAAGCAGTGTGGTACTGAACACTCTATACATGCGTGTTAAGCTGTGTTGAGTTCCAGGCGGGCACTTCCGTTGCAAATCTGGCTAACTAAGAGGATGGCCTTGCTTCTTTGCCTTCTGCAAGTAACTAATCATTGAAGTCAGCTTCTGTAGAATCTCAAGCAGGAAGTGTTCCTTGTTTGTAATTATAGGAATGGCATATTTGGCTCTATGAGATTAATATTAATTTTCTACACCATCCAAAGGAGTGTCTATAAGCAAGCCAGTTTTGCTAATGAATAAAATACTGCTTCTGTGAATAACATGCTTTATTTTATCCTACTAAAACAAGTATAAAATAGGTTCCTGGTTCTTGTGCCTTTACTGTAATAGGCCCCAAGCCAAGCCCTCCCTCCATACTTCCATCAGCTGTCTGCGAAGATGCTATTGACTTCTCTAATCCTTTCTCTCACAGCCCTCTTTACTAGTGAACTTCTTAGGCAAGAACAAGCTAAACTCAATGAAGCGAGGAAGATTTCCGTGGTAAATGTGAACCCAACGAACATTCGCCCTCACAGTGACACGCCTGAAATCAGAAAATACAAGAAACGCTTCAATTCCGAAATACTTTGTGCAGCTCTGTGGGGTACGTTGGTGGTTTGTTTGTTTGTTTCCACACTCATTAATCAAGTTATCTTAAAGTATTAAAAAAATAAAAAACTATGGCTTTTGTCTCCAGAAAGCACTAGGAGAATCATAGGTGTTAGGGCTGATGTGGGGCTGCCTCAGGAGTGAGCAAAAGTGTGTGTGTGTGTGCGCGCGCGTGTATGTGTGTAACTTGTACTCCAGATGGCATGTAGAGTGGTGAGCAAATATCAGCCACAGAACCAGCCTCCACTGAATACTCAATCACTGTGTGTCTAGCACTGTGCATGCCACCCCGCATCCTACCTCTGTGATCCCATATCGTATCCTGCTAGGTCTGTAAGGGCACCACATCCTTTTCACAGCTGAAAAACAAGCCCAGCGTATTTTAGGGACTTACCCAAGGCACTGAATCAACAGTAATTGGGCAAAACCCGAAAAGAGCAGCAGTGATGGGAACACTGCAGAGTGGAAATATCAGTATGAAGCTCTCATCGAGTAGATTGGAAGATGTGAGCTGGGTTCAAACTTAGCATAGGTGTGGGGACATTTTATCAAAGTCTTGGCCTATATTACTTAAATCATCATAAGAAAATCAGAATATGGTCTGGCTGACCCCATCTGCATTGCGAGGCTTAAACTGGGACATCATAATTTCCTAAGGTAGAGGTATCTGCCATGTGAGCAGGGATAAATATTGAAGCCTAGGAATTGTTCCACGAGAGACATAATGACTCTGCAGTAGGAAGATGAGATTTGGAGAACAAAAGAACTGCGTTTAACATAGTAGATAGGAATGTTTTCAGAACCTAGATATGCACCAAGAGATGATGGAGAGTCATGGCACAGCGAATCTTCCTTACACAGCTCTGCCTAAGGCTCCCCTTGGCAAGTATTCTCTGAGCTACGCACTCAGTGGATACCCTGTGGTGTATCGCTGCTTCTGCTTTAAAAAGTAAAATTATAATTCTGTTACTAGGGGAACAATTATGTGATTGGAGAGCCGGAGCTTCTGCCTCTACACTGTTACCACAGCACCTACTTGCTCATTTGTTTACGTAGGCATGAAGCAGTTTTCTCGACTTCATAGGGATCCAGGTAAAACTGGTTGAGGCCCTTAAAAACTCAGTCCTGTGGGCATCTTAAATTCACAGGTGTGAACCTTCTGGTGGGAACTGAAAATGGCCTGATGCTGTTGGACAGAAGTGGCCAAGGCAAAGTCTACAATCTGATCAACCGGAGGCGCTTCCAGCAGATGGACGTACTCGAAGGGCTGAATGTCCTGGTGACGATATCGGGTATGTTGCTAAGCTGACCTGACCCCCAGGGGTGCATCGTGGCCTCCGAAAACCACATGAGATGTGCCAGGCTGTAGCTGGGGAGATCACACATGCATCTTGTAATCCTGGAGGGTCTGGCCCCACCGGAAGCTTACCTGTATGTTAAACCTGAGGGAGGCAGACCCGACCACAGAAACTGTGTGTCTTGGCTTTTGCCGCCCTTACAACTCAGCAAGACTCTTATTGAGCTGTCTGCCCTGCAGTTCCTGTCATACTCTGAGATGAAGAATGCCAAAATGAAGGGTTCTGGGAGGGGAATTACCAAGCAGAAGCCTCTCTTTTCTCAAAATGTCTTCATCTAATCCACTGATAATTTGAGGACGGTTATACTACTGGGTAGCCAATTCTAGAGAGAAGATAGTGGACACATGCTCATTGGTACATTTTTACGACATCAATAGCTTTCTTAAGTGAAAAGACCCTGTTAGACAAGTAAGCCTCATTACTAACAAGTGAAAAGTACAACTGGAGTCTATGATTGTTGATAAGGTGTTTGATTCTTCCTGATGGTGGCTGAAAGGCTTGAACTAATTACCCTCCACTCTTTTTATTTCATCAGCTATGGAATCAACAGTACTACTTGTGTGTTAGAACCACCTAGAAGCTGTGAAAACCCAATCTGCCTCCCTAGACCAGGGTCAGAATCTCTGGAATAAGGTGTAGGCATTCAGTATTGATGGCTCTGACACTTCCCATCACACAACCTAGTATATGAGCTTTATTCTTCATCTTTATTATGCAAGGAAGACCACATAGGGCTTCTGGGTTCAACCTTAAAGACGAAAGCTAACTCTTCAGGTGTGCTTGTGGTTTATGTCTCTGGGCACATAATCCCCTCTTTGCTTTACAACTGTACTGAGTGTTTAGAATCTTGCCATTGCAAATAAAGATTAACCAAGTAAATTGTTCTTATACTATGATTTGAGCTGAGTTCTATGTGGCCTTTGTTTCTGGTTAATTGCTTTCGTTATTACTACACTCCCAAATCAAAACTGAAACCATGCATCTGTCTGTCATCTATCCAAAGTGGAAATGCTACCAGAAAATTCACGTTCAGGCTCCATTTTTCTGGTAATAACCAATCTTTGTCCTCAGTGTAGAACTATTACTTCTTATCATAGAGACAGAGGGAGAAAAGATAATAAAAATAAGAATGGGGATTCTTGAACTCTTGAGGTCCTATTAGCACTGGAAGACAGAGCACTGGTCAGCTCACTGGAGCTATCGTGAACACCGGGGCTCCGGGCTTCTGCTTACACAAACAGATGCCAGCTGTGTTTCCCACAGCCTCAGCCCCTTGGCTGTCCTCTGTCACATCAGGGTGGGATGCTCTAATGAACGCTCTTCTTCTAGCGCCTACTCCATCTGTAGGACATAAAACCTCTCTAAGGAAACAGGAAATATGGGAGAAATAAAACACATAAGCCTAAATTTCTCATTAATAAAGAGCCATAAAAATGTGTGTCTTCTCTGTGGTGGTCAAATAACCCAGTGGAATGGATTCATTCTGCTCCCCATAAATCTTCCATGCTATTGAGTTGTTTTATCATCCTGAGAATGTGCTGAATCTCTTTACCAAAGGGAACTTTGAACCTTCTCTTGAATTCCAAGTCCACATCTTTGTTTTCTTCTTCAGTGTTTTTATTTAATATTCCTTTTGGTGACCTTAACATAGTAGGTTTGTCCAATATCATCCTTTGAACTCAAATTGCTATGCTGAATTTGTTCCTCTTTCTTCTGTTAAATTCCTTTGTCTTACCAGTTAAATAAAAACTTTTACCAGGTGTCTTTGATGTGACAGAGGAGGCAGAAAGAGGGGAGAGAAAATTAGAGGAGATAAGACACACATAAGTAGACTAAAATGCCCATTTGTCAACATGCCTTCGTGAGATCAACTCCAGAAGGCTCTGGAACTCTGTTTATAGACTTAGAACTTACCATGCTCAGCAGACTTGGGAAGAGAGAGTAAGAGAAGCTTTCTAAAATAAGAAATTGTTTGAAGGTAAGAAGTTCAATTGGTGGGTTTTGACTCAAACAATAGGATAAGCTGTTACAAGTCTGGACAGGGGTAACAATGAGGAAGAGCAGGACACTGGCTATTCTGCCCTCACAGACACAGCAGCAGCAACAATATAGACAACAATGTAGGTGAGGGAAGAAGGAGGAAAGGCTACCACAGCGCTTGAATTTCAAACTCTGCTATTTCAACAGGAAAGAAGAATAAGCTGCGTGTTTACTATCTTTCATGGCTAAGAAACAGAATACTGCACAATGACCCGGAAGTGGAAAAGAAGCAGGGCTGGATCACAGTCGGGGACCTGGAAGGCTGTATCCATTACAAAGTTGGTAAGTCTCAGTTTGGCAGAATGAGCATCCCAAGTGTTGGGTTCAATGTTTTCAGTGTTTCCTATCTGCAGCTGATGCTGTGTGTCACCAGTTTAAAATGTAGCTGGACCCAAAGTGGACTTAAATTATTCCCCCAAAAGTCAGATTAATGAAACTCAGAGTATGCCTTTAGAAAAATAAAACTCCAGGCTTCAGTTTGAATATTTATAAGTGCTTCTCCCAAAGTGCCCTAAAATGACAATAAAAAATTAAAAAATGCAATAAGCCCCCAAGGTTGATCGGATCAAAGGAAGAGAAACCAGCAAATAAGAGACAGTCATAAAACTGGCCCAAAGTAGCTGTGTGACTGGGGTCAGACAGAGCAGAATGGGGTTGCGACATTCTCAATCTACAGTGAAGAAGATTATGAAAATTACTCATCCACACCACAGAACCCAGAAAGATCAAAAACCCAGGGAAAACCACGGGATAGAGGTGCGTAACAGAGTTGAAAATAAGGTTGCTGAACAGCAGTGGAGTTGAGAGTCTTAAGACCCCAGTACTTCCCCCGTCAGGCAGGCCACTGTCCTCAGCCCTGCAGCAAAAGGGAAGAGTTTACAAAGTCAGTGTGATGCTAAAAATACTTGTGAGGGTACACATGTACACCTACACCACACACACACACACACACACACCTTCCCCATAATGCTGGCAGTATGTTTATACTCCAAGAAAGAGTTTGAAAATTTAGTCTTTGGAAAAATTAAATACACAGATATTAACTTTAGAGTCCTGGGAGAAAATCTTCGTCCTTTCCTTCTCTAATGTAGCTGCTGACAGTTGATGAACCTACCTCAGCCAGAGACTAGGCAGGTGGATCTCACGTGCAGGAAGCAGTAACAAGCAGTAAGTAAAATCAGAAAAGGGAAAGGAAAAAGAAACTGTATTTTACAGAGATTTGGGGGGAAGTCTTTCTAAATAAAGAATAGGAGTGTTCTAAAGGTGGAGTAGAGTTGAGGAGGTTAATGAAAGAGGAAAAAATCTTAGCATGTAAATGATGTAAAGATGAGATGAAGACTTTACCTGTGAAGTAGAACTAAAGCAAATGGTGGGACCTGCACAGCTTTAGTGGTGACCTGACTGGGTGGCGGGGTGAAGACAGCAGACACTTATACAATCTGCCGCATGGTGACAGTGACGGAGAAGCACCAGCATCCAGAAAACCCAGAAGATTTCCCTTCTACGTCTCTTCTAAATATCAATCTAGGGAGTCAGATTTTTGTATAGAGCCCAGGGAGGAGGCAGAGCTGATGTTTACAGGTGAATGCGGAAGCAGACTTCTCTGTAGGCTCTGTGGGGAAGCAGTCTTGGGTGATAGCCATCCTAGGAGAGAAAGCCGTCAACATTCTCTGCACACGTTGCTATCAGAATGCACAAAGGGACCAGGGAAGGCTTTGCAATTTCCCCGAGCCTGACCTGAGGAAGGCTTTGCTATTCCCATGAGTCTAAGACATTGAGGTCTTAGACATGGCTGTGCCCGTGTGAACAGTACATATTCACTAAAGACTTCACCCTCTCCCTAGAGGGCCTAGAGAGAAGACTCGGGGGTTATGAACACTTACTGCTCTTCCAGAGGATGGAGTTGGGTTCCTAGTGCCTACATTTGGGAGCCAACAACCACCTGTAATTCCAGTTTCAGCGGATCTGACACCATTCTGGCCTCCACACGCATTGGCACATATGTGCACACACACCCACGTACGCACATATGCACACCACCACAACGACAATAAAAAGAAAATGAATCATTTCAAAAAGAGAATAAAAATAAGGAAATAAAAGTTGAACCTGAGGTTCAAAATATGAGCTTCAGTAAAAAGAGAGAAAATAGTTAAGGAGAGATGGAAGAGCAGAGGAAAGAAAGAGTAGATAGAGAACATCTCCTTGGAGACAGGCCTGGGCATCCCAGATCAAAATGGTCCTGAGAATTCAGTTTAGTTACTCAGAAAGAAAGCTCACAATAAGCTGTGCCAATATAGTATTTTAGTATACAAGAAATGAGAAAGTCCTTAAAATTCCTGGATTAAAAGAAAATTAATAAACAACAAATGTAAAATAGACCTGGAATCAGAGGTTCTTGGAGCTTTTCAGAAACAAAACTAGAACCCTTAGAAAACAGAACCAGCAAGACTTCAAACTTCCAAAGGCAAAATTATCTTTATCTAGAGGGTCACTTGGTGTAGTACTTGCCTTCAATGCACAAACCCTGAGTTCAATCCTAGCAATGGATGAACTAGGTGTAGCAATGCAATCCCAGCACATCGGAAGGGGAAGCAGGGAGATCAGGGGCTCACAGCTATCCTTGTCCTTACAATACACGAAACAGTCTCAAGCAATCATTTCGACCCACATTATAGCACATAAAATGCTAGAGTTAGACACCCCTCCCCCTCACAGAAGCAGATGGGAATGCAGACAGAAGCAGGGGCTCATTATTGGGAATTAGCTCTCAGAACTTTAGAAACTAAGAAGTCCCAACCCTGTTTCAGTTGGGAATCTGAAGACCTATGAAGGTCAATTGTGTGATTTCATTCAAGTTCAAATGCCTGGGGACCCAGAGAATTGACGGTGGGCTTCCAGGCAGAAACCCAGCAAACTCCAACCTATAGAAGAAGTGATAGTTCAACCTGAGTTTGGAGGCAGAAAGACACATATCTCTACGGAGGACAGAAGAAAGCCTCAGCCTTTGTGTTCGACTCAGACCTTCAGTTATTAGCTGGAGCACTCTGCTTTACCCAGGCTGCTAATTCAAATATTACTCTCATCAGAAAAAGACTTACAGAAATGCCTAGGATAATATTTGACCAAATGTTTGAACATGATACGGCCTAGTCAAATTAACATGTAAATGAAACATCATACTATCAAACTGTGCTTCAGTTTTAAGAGCAGAAGGAAGATGTTTGTAGGCATTCCATAACTCCAGAACATACCAGGCCAGGCACCATCTCTGGGAAAGTTGCAGGAGGATATGTCCCACTAAAATAAAAAAAATAAATAAGCCTTGGAGATTCAGGGAAAAGATAAAGTGCCCAGAACAAGGGCTAAGAACCCGTGACTGCTTTACCACAGGCTTGCAGAACAAGATGGTGTAGCATTCTGGAGGAGTGGCCCCAAGAGACAAGTGAATGCTTTGAGTTTGTCATGGCTGTTTGGCCATGCTGAAAGTCACCTCCTAGCAGAAGGTTCATGTCTGTGTAGATACACAGAAAGCAAAGAAGTTAAAAAATGAGGAAGGGCAAAAAAAAAGAAGGATGCCATCATGTTGTGCTACATGACATAGCTGTGATGGGAAATGATCCGAACTCTTCGGATGGCTTTAATCAGAGCTTTAAATGAGTGCATTCGGGTGGGAGGTGGGAAGCGGGGTTTGTGGAAGAGCCATGAGTCGGAGCTGTAAGGAAGAGGATCAGTCTTGAAGCTGATTCTTTTCATGCTGTGGATTCAGTAGACACTGTTCATATTTGGAGCTGAGACTAGCTATGTGGCTTTTGTGAATATTTGCCTATAAAACTTGTCAGTTGGAAATGGAGATGGAGAAGGAAGTTTCTGCAGGTTTGTGAAATATACGTGGTGTTTAAGGTTTGTTTTTAACTGAAGAAATTAGAACAAAGGTATGGAGTGGGGCTTAGACATGTTCCAAATGTGCCCACATGCAGACCCAGGAAAGCACTGCACAGGTTTGAAACTGTAACCTCTGGAGTTGTCCAGCCATGTGTCAAATGACTGACAACTGAAAGTGGAAACAGGACTAACGGGGGGATGCTGGGAAGGAACTCAGAAAATAAGTCAAGCTGTTTATAATATCCTATTTTGGGACCTTAGTATATTACCTTTTACAGCTAGAGAGGGCCCTGATCCAGGACAGTCTCCATTCCCCTTTCCTCCACATTCTTAGACACTAGGAAACAGTGACTAGGGACTAGAAGATCCAAGTGAGGATCTTTGTTTTGTAATCTTTATAATACAGAGGGCTTATTTATATGCACTTCTTTAGAAAAGATAAAGATGTGAGGAAGGGAAATACAGATGAGGTTCATCAACACCCGGTGCCTGTAAAATACCGCCCCACAGCCCCGCGCTGTCTGTGTGCTTCCCAGCAGCTAGTACAGCACAGCTAAGCAGAAAGCTGCTAAGCAGTTTTGCCATAGGAAGAAAGGATGTTGAACAGGCTCCGTCCTATTCCCAAACCAGACCACATGGGGGAGTACTTATTCCATAGCAATCCGTTGACGTTCAGGCTTCTCTGGTGTTTTGGTTTGGGAACCAGAATTATTTGGTCTTTTCTTGTCATATTCTGAAACTGCAATTTTCTCTGACCTAACCTGATTGTGTGACAAAGTATTAAATGCAGCCCACGTCATTCCCACCAGGCAGCAGGCAGCCTCCCATCCACACTTGAAGACTGTATGTTTCTTTACTGCAAAGTCATGCTTGTTTGCAGGAAAAAGCAGGCAATTCAAGTGTGGGAAAATTTAGAACTGCTGCTAAGCATGGCTCTGAAAAAGCTGTGGAATTTGCTTTAAGTAGATTTGACATTTATTAGCCCAAATACTTTAGTTATCAGGTTTCATTACACAAAGATTGTGTAATTAGGAAGTCATAAAACAAAAAGTGAAGATCTATAACATTCTGTTTTCAGAAATAATGAAAAGATTTGTCAAAGTACATAAAGCCCTTAAAAATAAACCACTGACAGAACCCAAGGCTCCTATTATTTCACCTGTCATTAGTAATAAAACAATTGTTTCATTTAATCATTAGAATTCAAATGTGAATAATAAGCAAATAAGATGATAAGCTTATGTTTTGATGAGTTTGTTAATTGTTATAGCATCTTGCTATAACTATATTAACGTAAACATACAAGATGTGAAATCTAACATAAGAAGACGGCTAGGTCCTTATCAAAGTGAATATCCACATCTAAACTTAAATTGTCCCATCCTTTGCTATAAACCAAAAAACTTGTAACATTGTGTCAACCCGGTACACTACAAGAAGTTAAGTTTGTGTGTAAAAAAAAAAATGTCAACCTGTTCTGAGGACAGCACCCTCCAGTGTGAAGACATGTGGAAGGCGTGTGACAGGCGTGTGACAGGCGTGGCTTTACTCAGGTCTTCATTTTTGATGCAAAAATTCTTGGATAGATTGATGTCATGTCTAAACTCTTACTCTTCCATTTCAGTTAAATATGAGAGGATCAAGTTCTTGGTGATTGCCTTAAAGAATGCAGTGGAGATATATGCTTGGGCTCCTAAGCCTTATCACAAGTTCATGGCGTTTAAGGTAAGCACAGACGTTGCTTGTTTAATTCAGCTTCTGTCAGAATTCTATTTTCCACATAAGCCAGTATCAGTTTTATTACATAGAGAAAAACTTACTTTAAAAACAATTCCTGAATTCATGATTTCAAAGGACTTAAATATTAGAAATTCTATACAGTTCATCCTATTAAGACCTGTGACTGTCCTCCCCCACTGGAGGTCTAGGAACTGTTGACTTCAAGAGTAATTTAGCTTGGAACAGTTACCAAGAAAAGTACCAAACACGACATTACACAACCATCTCTGCCGTGGAGCCCCTGAAAGCCAAGTACCGTCAGGTGTTTGCCTGAAAACGCAGACCTGTGGCAATCCTGTGTCCCCAGATCTTCTAAGCATCCCTGACATTTCCGAATAAACTAGGACTCAGTTATTCTTTGTCCATTCCTATTGCTTGAGGACATCTCTGAACGGAACACTGAAGGAGTCACTCAGGGAGAAGACCTCATTCCTCTGCACTTCCATGTTGCTTGTCCTAGCATTTGCTTGCCTTGTCTTGGTCTGCACTCATCACAGATTGGGTGGGTCCTCGTGAGGTTTAGCGAGAATGGGATGTTAATATGCTTTGTCCCATTGGCCCCAGAATATAAAAGATGAGCGCCAGAAGAACCATTACTTCCAAAGGCACTGATGTGTTCAGAACCACATAGCTTAGCCATATCCAATGTGAATTTATCTCCCATTCTCTCTATATATTTCTCACTGATCCTCATTCTCCCTACCTTCATGGCTGTAATTGGCTTTTGGGGTTTTATTTATTCTTTCTTGTCACCCATTGTATGTAAAAACCAAGTATGCCCCAGGATTTTGTAAGTACTCTCAGAGAATGAACCGCTCCACTCCCGTCTTATTCTTTTAGTTCAAATGCCCATGTGTGATTTGCTCAGGATGACAGATTCTTCAGCAGGAATGGGATTTCCTCCATAGGCCCACTTTGCTGCAAAAGAATTTTGTATTGTATTATATTCATAATACCAATGAAATACTTACTCCCAAAGCTAATATGGTGCTACTTTGCTGCCAAAATCTCTCTTCAGAAATGCTTTTCACACAAGATTCCCTTCCCATTGTGATTCTGAAGTCACAGCCCTCAAGGTCCTGGCCACAGCCTGTGAAAGAACAAAGCACTCCCTTTGGCAGATCAAACCCAACCTAGAAGAGGAAGCACAGAGGCCAGGACTTGAATAGGAAAGACTGGTAGAGAATAGCTGTGGAACCTTCCCTAGAGCAAGGCAAAAGGCGTTAATTCCTGGGCCGAGAGAATGGCAGTAACAGATGGGGAGGGAGCAATGTTGATGGCACCTGAGGTTTCTCGGATCATCCCCTTGAGCTCAATATTGGATAAAAGTACAGAATCGGGACACAGGAAGAGAGACTGGAACTCTTCACAGCTATGAACTCTGACAAACTTGGCTTGAGCTCTCCTCTTTGGCTTTCCAGTTAAATCCTTGACGACAGGCCAAGCCATGGGTGTTGCAATGCATCTTCCACATCCCCCCTTCTTAGCCCCCAGACGTGACTCTCAGAATACAGCATGAAGTTTAGAGAAACTGAGAGTCACAACAGGGAAATCATAACCATACACTAATCTCCAACAGCTTTAACACAGTGACGCGCCCAGACTGGTCTCGAAGGTAACAACCATAGATGAACCTGGGTACCACCTAGGAAAGAGGGTGTCATAGAGATAGATCACTGCACACTGTACACTCTCTAGAGGACAATGCGAAGCAGTATCCAGTCACCAAGCTTTTAACACACATGTCACTATCAAAATTGACAGTTTAAACAGTTTTTACTATGCAAGATAAGAAAGGGAAAGAGGGGAAAAATAGACAATACAGATTTTCTCCTGGAGTCAGACATGAGTAGACCTGAGCCTGAAAGAGATGCTTTCCTAGAGTTTCAATGGAAAACACTCACTTCCTTTTGACAGTGGTCAAGTGAAACCCTTAGGAATAAGACAGCCTCTTTTAATGGCGTGGATACTAATGAGGTGATTTTTAAAGTCTTTTGCAGATCTTCAGCATAAGCCTCTGCTTGTTGACCTCACAGTGGAAGAAGGTCAAAGGTTAAAGGTCATTTTTGGCTCACACACTGGTTTCCATGTAATTGATGTTGATTCTGGAAACTCCTATGATATCTACATACCATCCCACGTAAGTTTCAGGAATCGGACTGTCTCCTGCACCTGCAGGACAGCTTGCATGGCAGATTGGGTTGGGCCTATATTTCAATTGAAATCATGATAATCTCTAAAAGTTGTGAATTTGGGGTATCAGCAGACAGATGTTTTTAAAGATTCTATTACTCCCTCAAGCTAAGTAGCACAAAAATTGCATTATTTTGAGATTATCATCTTGTTTCTTTGGATTTCAAGGTGAAATGCCTATGTTATACAATAGTTGAGTTCCCATTTTCAGGTTTTGATTCTATGCAAGAGAAAGACAATGACTAGATACTAAGTTCTTGGGGGAGGGGAATCACTTTTCTGCTATTTCCAGTTTTTTCCATCAGCCTGAGGGTTTGTGGAGTGGTGGAGCAAACACACTAGCATCCACCCCCGTTCTAGTACATCTGAACCTGGCTATAGCGGACCCTCAGCTCCCCCAGCTGTAAGATGGGACTCCAAGTACCTATTCTGTAAGGTTATCTTCATTATCATTAAATTGGCTCAGGACCCAACGTACTCAAGTTTCTTTTATTAGCAATATGATATTCAGATCACTTTGCTGACACACGGTCTAAAACATTCCCTTTAAGGGAAATGCATGGATGGACCTATACGCGCCCGTGTGGTATAAGCTCTGTTTCATCCAAGGCTAACAAACTCTCAGGATAGTCTGGGGCTGGTCTCCAGCTGGTTGGCATTTTGAGAATTTAAAGAAACCCGGTCCTTGCGCATGTGTTTTGATGCATTTGCACAAATGCAATTGTTGTAGTACTTGCACGTGTTCTGATGCATTTACACACATGCACTTGCCACAGTCCTTGCACATGTGTTTGGATGCATTTACACACATGCAGTTGTCACCCAATGTTGCATTTTATAGCTTTTTACTTACATGTCTACATCAATGCTAAGACTTGGTCACTGCTGTGATTGTCTTCAAGCCCCCAAAGCCCTGTCTGTCAATCACATGTTGGAATACTATGAGACTCTGAGCCAGGAGTAGAAGTATCACCTCCCTTCCCATAGAGCCAAGCAATCTATGCTTATTTCAGAAGTGTGACCAGTAGTAGGCTAATTCTACCTTTTATCCCAAAGAAATCACTAATTTGGGTCATTCTGGTATTAGAGCTCTCGGGTGACTATTCTGGGCCCTGTACGCATGTGCTCATTGTAGGCACCTGACATTCTTGCCTCCTGTGGAAGCAGTTGTTCTTGCGGGAATCCATGAAGCTCAGAGTCAGGGAGATGTGCACAGAGCCTGCCTCCGTCTACCGCCAGATACTCGAGTAGCTTTGATCAAGTCACACAACCCTGAGATGCAGTTCCCTCATCTGCAACAAAGTTTTCCAACGGTGCCTTCGTCTGTAGCCTAGAAATGATGTATACCGGTGGTCCGCAGGTTAGCACATCAGTACTCACTCCACACACGCCGTGTTTCTGTTCTCAGAACCGGTAAGACGGATTCCAGATGAAGTAGCTGTATGTGTAGACACAGGCACATTTGACCAGAGATGTGATTACATTAAAGTAGATGTCAATCTCTAGAGTGAAACGTGACATAAAATTTCATTTGCAACTCCTAAAGATAAAAGGCAAGAGGTTTTCTGGATTTTAAGTCAGATAAATCTTGGGCTTTCTTCGTCCCCCAGATTCAGGGCAACATCACTCCTCACGCCATCGTCATCTTGCCCAAAACGGATGGAATGGAAATGCTGGTCTGCTACGAGGACGAGGGGGTGTATGTGAACACCTACGGCCGGATCACAAAGGATGTGGTGCTCCAGTGGGGAGAAATGCCCACCTCTGTGGGTAGGTTGACCATTCCTTATCTCCTTCAGCAGTTACACCCCCCCAATGAAATGAGAGTCAAGAAGTGTGAAACAACCATTTGAGTCCACACCAAAAAGAAAAAAAAAAAATCTGTTACTAACACTGTAAGACTTGCTTTGTCTGTTTGACCTCAAGTCCTTTGTCCTTTGTTTGTGCTTAAGATGTGAACAGATGCTGTGAGTGTTGCCCATCTAATGTTTTTAATGCAGTTTTGGAAATTCCTTTTGACAGCCTACATTCATTCCAATCAGATAATGGGCTGGGGCGAGAAAGCTATTGAGATCCGGTCAGTGGAAACAGGACATTTGGATGGAGTGTTTATGCATAAGCGAGCTCAAAGGTTAAAGTTTCTATGTGAAAGAAATGATAAGGTAAATCCGTTTCAACTTTGCTTTAGTGTTTGCCTTTTAAGAGACCTCCAGGTACCTGTGAAACCTTCATTTTCCTTGATGTTGCAGAGTCACAACTGTATTAAGGGGTCAATAGGGTATCTTGAGATGGTGCTGCCTGACTTGATTCATGTGAACATTCAGAATCTATAACTCATGCATCCAAACCAATATAAAACATCTAAACTTTCCTTGTAAACAAACTCTTAGTACCTGTTGTGGCCTGTGGGCCTCTGTTAATTAACAACCATTGCAGACTCTCCTGTGCACTTAGAGCAGCTGGCCCATCATTCACCATCTCACAGTGGGTCAGCCTCATGCTTTACCTTTAGGCCTTTCATAGAGACATTGTTGGGACTTAGCTTTCACATTCTATTCACCCTTAAGTGTAAAACATCTGACATGTAGATGAACTTCTAAAAACTGCCACTCATTGCCAAGAAACAAAATCACAAATTCAACTTTTGCCATGCCCTGTCTCATTCCACCCATGAGTCTCCTGACATGTCACAGGGGGACTACGTTCTAATGTAAGTGGCCATGTCTGTCCAGCACGATCAGTCACCCCACAGGAGTCCACTGAGGTGACCATGCTCTCCCTTGCCCTCCCAGTAGCTAATCTACATTTGCCAGCCCATGCTCTAAGACAATGGTCAGCCTAACAACCATGTCCCCCAGCAGCAGATTTGAACACCTGTAGGAAGGAATGTGGTGGGTTGAGCTGTTTACATCTCCTTGCTCACCCCAGTTCCCCAGAGGCCAGACTGGTCTTCATCCAACCCTGGTAATATGGGTCTGGATGCTGTGTCCCTGGCTAGCTGCTAATGACCTCGTGTGATCAAATGGACGGCAGCTGGGGGAGACAAGGATGGTTCTAGGGAACTTACCAGACTGCGTCAGACACTAGACTTAGCAAGTACGATTCCAACACTTCTCCAGGCCTAGAACCCAAGAGGTGAAATGTCTGGGTATGGACAGCTGCCCTGCCGTTCTTGACAACATACCCCAGCAGGCCTCGGCCAGCCCACACTCTCCGGCAAGGGCCTCTAATTTAGTCCCTGAATGTACATATGGGGACAACAGCAACCCCTCCTTTCAACAAACCCTCACCTTCACCCCTATTTCGAGTCTCTGACCCCTAGAATAGCTTTACTTTCCTCTCTAGCATCAGCTAAATGTCAGGCAACTCCTCAAGCTTCTTAAGGAACCATGAGGACAAAGTAGCACTAGGGACGAATACTCATTCCTCAAACCACAAACACTGACTGATTGAAGGGCTATTGCACAGCCCCAAATATTATTTTCCTGGGGCAGTGGTTCTCTGACATTCAGCTCAAGCAAGCAGTAATCTGAATTCTGCTCACTTTTCCCACGCCTTTGATAAAATGATTGAACTGGCTCAAACCTAATGGGCTGTGGTTCCGCTTATTAATGTCATTATCTCCTTTGGCTTGGGATCTGCCAGCATCAGCAGAGAGGCCAAGTGCCAACCCTGAGGCACCAGGCTGGGCAAGCATTCAACACCTTAGCCTAGACAACCATAACCACTCTAATATCTTTGGTTTTAAGTTTAAAAATTGAACATCAAAGTTGTACAACTGTCAGTAGGCCCCAAAATGTTGCCCATAAGTTTGGGAATTAAGGGGTTCTCTTTCATCTGCCTCCATGTCACTCACGAGGGAGAGAAAGAGTGTCCCTGGACCTTTGTAGAAATAATCATTGTCCCAGGCCAGAAGTCCAGCAATAAATAATAATCTGAGAAAACATAAGGGCAGGAGGATTTCCATGCAATGCACTCTCTGAAATGTCACTATAAATACTGGCCAGAGAAACTGAATGTGTTGCAAGGGTAGGACATGTGAGAGAAAAATGGCTGTACAGTTGAAGAAGAAAAGGGGGAAAAAAACCCACGAAGTTGAACTAACTTGTTTTTAATTCCAAACAGGTATTTTTTGCATCCGTGCGATCTGGAGGAAGTAGCCAAGTGTTTTTCATGACCCTCAACAGAAATTCCATGATGAACTGGTAACGGAAGAGCACTTGGCACTTATCTTCATGGTGTTCTTTCTAATGTAAGAGAACATAACTCATGTGGACGTTTGCCAGTCTAGAGGCAGACTCAGAAGGCCTGGTTGAACATCCCACTTTCCCGTTTCCTCTCCCTCCGTCCCTCCCAATAGAGTCCCTCTTTCAGTGTTGCAGCCTGGTTAAGAAGGAGAGAAAGAGGTGGCAGGAATGTCCGGGAGATGCCGAGGATGCTGCATTGTCTGTGGACACAGTTGGACCTTGTGCCCTTCGGAGTTAGGGATAGAAACAAAATTGTGTGCTTTTATGATTAAGCTGTGTTTGTGCTGGCTTTTCAGTTCTTTTTGGTCTGGGATTTTTTTAAACTTTTTTTTCTTTACCCCCTTATTTTGTAAGAATGGGGAAAGAATGCATACTGGGAAATTAGACTTTTTTTTTTTAATTCTGTCTGCCTGCTAGCTTAAAGTATATGGTATGTTGTAAAATCTCCAATTCCCGGTAGTGAGAGACAGCACAATAAATGTACCTAATCTTTCTGTACTGAAGGCCATAACCGCATTGTCGGGTAATTTAAGAATTCTCTTGCCTTCACCAACCCAAGAGGATGTTTTGTTGTTGTTGATTTTTTTAATTGCTACTGGCTAATGAATTTTTGAAAGAGAAGCAAAATAGCTGGTTTTCTCCTCTATGGGGAAATAGATTTTAAATGGCTAAGCTACTAGCCTTAACCTAATAAAACCAACTGCTATGTTGTGAGTCTGGCAGGCCATATTTTGATATGGCCCTTTCTGGATGGAAGATGTTGAATGGGACAGAGATGCCACTGAGTCACACTTGTGACTGTGGAGGGACTCTGGGATGCCATTGTCCCTCGATTATTATGCAAGAGATCAGGGCGAAACATGGGATGACAGGTGGGTCACCCCGAAGGAGCTTCTGAGAAATGAGCTAATATGTCTATGTAAATACACATGTGTTCTTTCTTCAAGGCACAAAGCGTCCCTACTAAGAGGTCCCTTCGTTTGGGCTTTGTTAGGACTGAGACTGATGGAGATCTTTCCTGGAGCTGGGGTTAACATGACAGCCGTGCTCTGGAAACCCAGCTCCCTCCCAAGGGTGCCACTTTCTCAAGATAAAAACTGTGACAAAGAAGAATTACTAATAAAAGTTTCTGAGCTGCCTGTGTTCGCACTGGGTCAAGGGACTAGACTCTCCAGCCTGCCCCAGACACTGCAGGCACCAACAGCTCAGACTTTAGGGGACCTGGAGGCAAGGCTTTGGCCAAAATTCTGAGACCCTAATCACGTTATGTTCCTCTAAACTTCCCAACATACTGTTAACAACATCTGTGCAGAGGTGTGTATGTGTTTAGTTCAGGTTGACTTGTGTCCTTCTAAACCCTTACTCGAATGATTTGACCCTTTATGTGACTGGCTGGGATTCTTCCCAAAGCTATGAGCATGGCCTCCTATGGTATCCAGGTGTTGCAAAATGGTATCTGTGCTGTGCTTCCTGTTTTAACCTACCTCGTTTTGTTTGGTTTCGTTTCTCTGTTCATCGCAGCAGTGTTTTCTCCAGGAGACATATAGAGAGCTCAACTGGGCAATCTCAGCTGTATTGAATATTTCCAAAACAGTAGTTGACCAAATTGTTCTTTAAAAATTGGAGGGAGAAAAAAAATCTCCAATGACCAAAACCTAATGAGGTTTGTTTCTAAAGAATGCAATTACTGTAAATGGATCAGAAAAAGAAAAACAAAGATCGTGATCCTACTGATTTTGCCTAAACAAATGAGCAGCTAGTGGACTATTAATGAGAACGAAGCATATGTTAGGAGAATGGTACCTTAACCATGGTGGTTTGGCCAAAGGGGATGAGAAGGGGAAATATTTGGAGTTCCGACCTATAGCTTATTCTGTACTCCCTGAGGGTGAGGTCGTGTGCAGTTATCTGAAGCAGGTAACACATAGGTGTGCAATGAGGGTGGTCTCCAGGCACCCCCAGGATGAACCCATCATGGTCCCTTTAGCTCTCAGAAGCAATGAAACCCTCCCGTTCTCATTTTTACTGCTGGGGTTATGCTGCTGAACAACACTGTCTTTACAAATTCTAGGGGACAAATTCAGCAAGAGCTCTGGGTTAAATTTAGCAACTGCAAAAATTGGATGCTGATATGAACATTAGATAATAGGGATTTGGGTCTTGTCTCCAGACGTGATTGCCACCAGCTCTTTATATTGCTGCTGTGACAGTTTGAACCAGAGGCTTCTTAAATTATGTTGCAAACTGATCTTCGTTTTTATGTTTTGTTTTGTTTCATTCTTATTTCTACGTGATACATCCAAAACACACAGCTTTAAATGATTTTTTATTGTGGGACTTTGGGTACAGTTAAGAAATAAAAGGGAATCATTGTGTTTAAACATAAGGTAGTTTGTGAATGTATTTTTTAAAATCTAGATTCATTGGAACAAAAATCATAAGAAAACATATTAATGCCGTCTTGTTTACAGTATGGACAGTGACATAACATAACATGAGCTTTTTTCTGGTGCCAACAAAACAAAATAAAACACAGATGTTAAACATCAAGCCATGCCTTTTATATTTTTGTACAAATATTTTGCACTGAGCATAAGGCAAAATCAAATCTAAAAGAGACCCGCAAATCTCTGCCCCTTAAAACACATTTATAGAATTCCTTGAAGCAGTTATCTTCAAAAGTAAATATTCCAGTAGTTATGACAGGTCTCAACCCTACCTTGTGAGACCTTGGTCATGCAAAGTAGAATGGTGCCCTTGTGGTTCATCTTACAGTTTTCAAATTTGGAGGTGGATTTCCTTTTCTCTATTTGTTCTTTTTTTCTGGTGGGTGTGATCTCTTTACCTATTGTAATTTTAAATTTCTTCTGTTTTTATCTTGCCTTTTAAAAGGTTTGTTCCTAGAAATTATTCGGACTTCTGTTTTTCTACAAGAAAGAAGAGGCTTCCCCAAATTAAGCTTTAGTACTCCTGTGCATCCTCAACATGCTAAATTGCTGACCATCAGCAAACCCACTGAGCGTGCTCACACCATAATGTGGGCGTAGGACCTAGGAAGAGACCACTGTGCTTAAGCGCCAGCCAGGACATTGTAGCTTAGATTCCTATATCCAGAGAAAGCTGGAGGTAGATGGACTGGGATGCCATACAGATCATATGTAGAATCCCACAGCATAAAAGCAACAGTTATATTGACTACCACGTGAAACCTAATAGCTTTAGTTAGAGCTCAGTAACTTTCTCGAGGAATTTTATACTTTAAGACTTAGACTTGTTTGTATGATTATGATTCTTATTCAGTAGGGTAAAGTCAGTTTGAGGCAAACTCTCATGAGGCCACTAAGACAGGGTCCCCTTCTCTGTGAGTTCGAGACCAGCCTGGTCTACAAGAGCTAGTTCCAGGACAGGCTCCAAAACCACAGAGAAACCCTGTCTCAAAAAACCAAAAAAAAAAAGAAAAAAGAAAAAAAAAGAAAAAAGAAGACAGGATCCCCTGCTTCTAAAGCAACCATGGCTTTCTGGGATGCACACCTAACAAACCTTGCACTGAGTGCACATTTTTCAGAGTCATTGTGGTTTCTGGTTGTCACTACTTCTAACAATTCTCTGTGTGCTCTTGTGATGCCCTGATGGCTGTGTCTCTGGTCCCTCCTGTGCAGTAGTTTAGCAAGAGGTGTGATACTCAGGCTGGAGCCATCTGGGTTTTGTCTATTGACAACGAAGGGCCGAAGTCTGACTTCACAGTCCACAGAGTTCTCCTTAAAAACTGCTCTCCCTGCTGTTTTTGTGTGTACGAGTTCATGTCACTGCATCCTCGAACCGTGCAAGCTCTCTGTGTGTGCTGTCTTGGAAAGTCCACGTGAACCGGCACCCTTGCCTCTGTGCTGACTGCTTGACGGTATACAATGTGCTGCATCACTGCTAAGAAAGAAGATATAGGTGTTAGTGAGACTTTGACCTTAGCGTGCCGCAGGACAGCATGAAGAAAGAATCTGCCATGCTCCAAACATTCCAGAGACTCTCTGGTACTCGACAGTTGTAAATTAGCAACTTAGTTTTAGTTCATTCCCCCCTAAAATTAAATCTAAGTGTCCCAAGCAACTACACATCTGATGAACTAAGAACTTGCTTTCTCTGAGACTACACAAAAGACTATGACCCAAAATTTAACCCCAAAGTCTAATTGTTCTTCGTTTACCGCCTGGGGTGTCTCATCAATGCCATTGTATTTGGCCTTGCTCACTGCAGCAGTATGAGGAACCCTAACATGAGCTGTCTTCCCATGAGTCTCACACAGTGTGGCCATAAAATGATCTCTTTTCCAGATCCCAGCAGAGAGTAAATGTCCCTCACCATTCGCAGGTCCCGAGCTGACAGCATCTCCGCTTTTGCCAAGAATTCTCCAGTGCCATCTTTATTTCCATACTGTGCCATTGGCCTGGAAATTTCTCCATAGACATTTGTGATAGTCAGCAATCTGCACAGCATTAGACCACCTGAGATTTATTCTTCTGCGCATGCCAGCCCATGAAAGCCCACAACACAGAACAACAAAGGTCTCCCCTAAAGTTTCTAAACAGAAGATCCCTGGATGAGGTTTGTACTGTTTTAAGTCAGATCAAAATCTTGCTATACATTTGGGTGAAATCTATAACATACAATTGAAAATAATAAAAAAAAATATATATTCCCTGAGCTTTCCAACCTCTGGCTGTGTGTGATCGTCTTTGCACCCACTTGCTGACTCTGCGTGACTTTGGTTTTGATGGTTCGTCTCTTAAAGACAGCAAATTGCTTTGCAGAACAAAGGACTGGCAAGTGCTGATGGGAAGACAAGTGTTCATTCCCATCAGTGGATCACTATTGGACCCAGCAAATACCCATGCCTCGACTGCCCTTTACTTCTCCCTTCCCGCAGGTTCAAGCATAATGTAGTTTGTTTAAGGGACCTGAACGTTTCCTGAGTCAGAATTTCACGTGTAGGGCGGCAGCCATGAGGGAGAGGACAGCAGCTGAGCACACTGGAAAACCGCATGTTTTAAACACATTTCTTTTTTTACATTTTAGCTGTCTTAAACTGTTAGTGCAGCTGCAGAGAGATAGCAAGTCTGTAATACTAGAAGGGAAAGTATTCCTTTACTGCGCCTATGAATGGTTACATTTTTAAACCTCTTATTTGCAAACGTGTCTTGAATGGTCAAAATTCTGCAAAACTGGATATAGTTGTACCTCTATGTATCTTCCTGAAAAATTCTTCCAGTCAAAACTGTCAAGTGTTCATTTCCGTCACTAATACATCAGTTCTTCAATAAATGCTTCCTACAGACGCTCTTGCTGCAGTTGGGAAGACTTTGGTAAGCTCTAAGCCAAAGATTCCCTAGCCCCACAGCCCCAGACCCACTACAATACACAGAGGAAACGTGTGACGGAGTATTAACAGGAACAAGACACATGGTAATTTCTCAGCGCCATTTCCATATCAAAATCCCACCTCACTCTCCCAATACCCATTTCTCTGAAACTCTTTCATCTACTGAGAAAGGCTCTGAGCCCCCACCCCCACTCCCAGCCACTCTCCTGTGTTGCTCTCGTATTCAGCCCTTGGCCCACTGCCACTTCCTGCACCACCCTTCCAAATGCTTGATCCTTTTTGGTATCCATTTAGAAACTGCTACAAACACCCTGGCTTCTCATTCATTTTTCTGGTGCTGTCTAGTGAAACTTACTATCAATGACGGTAGGATGAGGACAGAAGCTCCCAAAGCCATAGTTCTTCCCATTGGTCCTGGCGTGTGTTCCACATCCTTTTCAAACAACAGCCATTGTTCACCCCACCGCCTTCTCTTCAGTGTTACCAGTGCCCTCCATTCCATGGGAGGGTTTCAACCCCTGATGATACAGTGTCCTGTGCACAACCCTACCCTTGGCCCCGCTACCCCATTTCACTTCCATCTGTGGGTCTGCTCCTCTTCAAAGACAAACTCCCCTGGAAGAACTGTGTGCACTCACTAACTGAATCTTTTCCCTTAATCTCTGAGCTATTTTTTTTATTTTTTAAATTTATTTATTTATTAAGGATTTCTGCCTCGTCCCCGCAACCGCTTCCCATTTCCCTCCCCCTCCCCCCATCAAGTCCCCCTCCCTCATCTGCTCGAAGAGCAATCAGGGTTCCCTGACCTGTGGAAGCCCAAGGACTGCCCACCTCTATCCAGGTCTCGTAAGGTGAGCATCCAAACTGCCTAGGCTCCCACAAAGCCAGTACGTGCAGTAGGATCAAAAACCCACTGTGATTGTTCTTGAATTCTCAGTATTCCTCATTGTCCGCTATGTTCAGCTAGTCCGGATTTATCCCATGCTTTTTCAGACCTAGGCCAGCTGGCCTTGGTGAGTTCCCAATAGAACATCCCCATTGTCTTAGTGTGTGGGTGCACCCCTCGCGGTCCTGAGTTCCTTGCTCGTGCTCCATCTCCTTCTGCTCCTGATTTGGACCTTGAGATTTCTGTCCGGTGCTCCCATGTGGGTCTCTGTCTCTGTCTCCTTTCATCGCCTGATGAAGGTTAATATTCAGGAGGATGCCTATGTGTTTGTCTTTGGATTCACCTTCTTATTTAGCTTCTCTAGGAACATGAATTATAAGCTCAATGTCCTTTATTTATGGCTAGAAACCAAATATGAGTGAGTACATCCCATGTTCCTCTTTTTGGGTCTGGCTTACCTCACTCAGGATAGTGTTTTCTATTTCCATCCATTTGTATGCAAAATTCAAGAAGTCCTTGTTTTTCACTGCTGAGTAATACTCTAATATGTATATATTCCATACTTTCTTCATCCATTCTTCCATTGAAGGGCATCTAGGTTGTTTCCAGGTTCTGGCTATTACAGACAATGCTGCCATGAACATAGTTGTGCATATACTTTTGTTGTATGATAGGGCCTCTCTTGGGTATATTCCCAAGAGTGGTATTGCTGGATCCAGGGGTAGGTTGACCCACTGACTGGGAGAAGATCTTCACCAACCCCGCAACTGACAAAGGTGTGATCTCCAAAATATATAAAGAACTCAAGAAACTAGACTGCAAAAGGCTAATCAACCCAATTATAAAATGGGGCACTGAGCTGAACAGAGAATTCTCAACAGAAGAACTTCAAATGGCCAAAAGACACTTAAGGTCATGCTCAACTTCCTTAGCAATCAGGGAAATGCAAATCAAGACAACTTTAAGATACCATCTTACACCTGTCAGAATGGCTAAAATAAAAAACACCAATGATAGCCTTTGCTGGAGAGGTTGTGGAGAAAGGGGTACACTCACCCATTGCTGGTGGGAATGCAAACTTGTGCAACCACTCTGGAAAGCAGTGTTTCGGTTTCTCAGGAAATTCGGGATCAATCTCTGAGCTATTTTAAATCAGTCTTTTGTAACAGGAGGAGCAGGCTGCTTGTCGTCCCAGGCACCCGGCTATCTTACACCTGAAAATAACCACACAGAACTGTATTCATTTAAACACTGCCTGGCCCATTATCTCTAGCTTCTTATTGGCTTATTCTTACATCTTAATTTAACCCATTTCTATTAATCTGTGTATTGATATGTGACTGTGGCTTACTGGCAAGATTCTAACTAGCGTCCATCTCAAGCAGGAGATACATGGCGTCTGCCCCTCTACCCTTCCTCCCAGCATTCAGTTCTGTCTACTCTGCCTACCTAAATTCTGTCCTATCAACTAGGCCAAGGCAGTTTCTTTATTAATTATCCAATGAAAGCAACACACAAACAGAAGGAATTCCTACACCAGTCTTTCATCCCCAGGATAGTGGCTTTGCCAAGGGTTATCAGTGGCTGCCTCCCCATCCAGTGCAGGTACCAACTCTGGCTGTGCGCTGCTTCTCTGAGGTCTTTGTCACAGCCAGGAAATGCTTCTTGAGATAGCGCCTATGCACTGGACTTCCCCATTCCCCGGCATGTGCTAACAGCTAGTACTGGACAGTCCCTTTCTAGGTGAATATCTTCAACCTTGGAGCCTTAAAGAGCACCTTACAACAGCAGAAGCCACATTTTCATCTCCTTCCCTCACCTCCTTCCTGAGGACATGCTTAATTTGCTAATAAGCATCTTCATTTGGATGAGTACTGTGTCACACACACACAAAAATAAACAAATAATAAATAAACAATTCATGATCTTCCCCAGATTGGCACAATGTGAATCCCATCCTTCCACACTGGAAAAATCTCCTCATCACTCCTAATTTTACTCTTTCATATACCATATCCTAGTAATGTGGCCTTTCTTAGACTCAGTATATCCATGATCTGATCTGGGCCAGGTCACTTTCTACCTGGCATGATGCTTTCAAAAGAGAAGCCAAAATATGCCACTCTTCCACTAACCTCCACAATATCTTCTAGTTCCCTCAGAATAGCATAGTCATGTGACCATTATAGCCACCCAAGTAATCTGCCCTACCTACCTGTTGACCCTCCCCGGCCCCCATAATTCCTTCTCTGACCTGTTTTTCTCTGTTCGCTTGAATCTAGTTCATGCTTTACCCAGAATATCTTCAACACATGCCCCTTCCTGATACCCCATACCTGCATGACTTGCTCCTTCTTTTCCTTTAGATCTTGTTCATAAATATCCCTCTACCCTCTGAGGGCTATATTATAAAAAAATATAAAGGAAGCAAGGAAGGAAGAGAAAGAAAAAAAGCTGCCACCATTTCCTGTTTTACCAACACTCATAACTCTTCTTGCCCTGTTTTGCTCCTGGGTCTGTCCGTGAAGTGCTTTGGAGAATACCTAGCAGACAGTAGTTATTCAGTAAATGGTTTTTTGATGAATAAATGAATAAAATAAGCAGTAACTGTTCCGGAACTAAAATGGAATAAAACTATGTGGTTAGTTTTCATTTCTATACCAAAATTAAGACGCTGTCTTCAGAGGCCATAAAATCATAAAGCGTAGCTTTGCTTTCGTAGACAAATAGGAAACCAGGTGGGTTGTCATTTCTGGCAGAAAAGACAACTGACTTGAACCCTGACTATCCTTTCCCAGTTCCTGAATCTTCACAGACTCAGCTGCAGGAGTAGAAGAGAAACTATCACCCAGACCACCGAGAAAAGCTGCGTTTTTAAACTTTAGACTAACTCAAGGAATGGCCCCTTTTAAGCTGTTGTCATTGTACCAAAATAAATAAATAAATAAATAAATAAATAAATAAATAAATAAATAAAATGTAGTTTTGGGACGTGCGGGTTAGATTCTTCATTTGTTTTGTGGGAAAAAAATGTTTAAAACTCACAGCAACAGTCAGAGACCTTCTGCCAAAGGTAGCTTCAAGATGCCTGACGATATTTGGGTCTTAATCCTCAGTGGCAGGAGTTCTGAGGCCCCTCTGGGCAGCCTTTTCCACTTGTATACACTCGGTGTCAGTGAATGTTGTTGCATGAAGCTTCATTGTAGGACACTGACACGTGCCTTCTATGGATTTATTGTTTCACCGAGTCTTGTAAAAGGCTCAATTTGTTCAACTGTGTATTTATCTCCTCCCTTAATAAAAAAAAAAGATTTTTTTTTAAAAAAATACAAAAGAAGACAGTGAAAGGCTGTAACTGAAGCAGTGTAACAAAGAAACGGTTGTCCCTCTTATTCTGTGTCTTCTCACAAAGATGCTGAGACAAAGCATAGCCAGGGTCAAGGTCTCTGTCTTTCCAGGGCCCATAGGGACCTGTGGCGCTTAGTTGTAAATATCTGAAATCCTTTACAGAAGAAGGGTTTCAGGTGTGAGGAACATGAAAGAGAGATTCAGAGGAGCCCAAAATGTTACAGCACGTGAGAAAAATCTAGAAACCAAAAGCTTTCACTGTTAAAATCCAATAAATGTTTTTAAAATAACTTTCCAATATGATGTACATAATATCTTATTATTAGGTTTCTTTAGACATGTATTACAGCAGCTTAACTATATGCTTTCATTTGCCACAATGAACTCTGTCCATGTTCCGTGACAAGAACAGTTTGGGACAGGCCTGATTCTCCCCCGAAAATAGTTACCTTCTTCCCAGTCACTTTACCAAGTGAAGTGATAAGGATAGGATGATAGAACTGTGGCTTGACCAAGATTTTCAACCCTTCACCAGAGGCTGAGTGGCCCCAGGTTTCTGTTTCCTCTCAGCCAACCTAGTAAAAGAGGTATTCAGAGCTAGAAGACATCCCGGAGCAGAATGACAGAGTAGTCGCTCATAGTTGGAACCCAAATTAGCAAAATTACCACCCGTGGAGGCAGAATGACCAAATGGGATGAGGCCGTGAGTTTTCTGACCATCACAGACATTCTGTGCTAGTGACCCAGCACGCTGCTGTTCACGTGTGCCTGCGCGAATGCCGACAGATACCTGCTTCTTTCAGCACGTGTTCCCATCTGGTCCCACGTAATGTAGGCAGCCCTTTCCTCAAACTTCACAAGACTTGGGTCTTGAGTAGGGGAGCCTTCAGTTTTGACTTTGGCATTTCACTGGCTAGTGAACTCCAGGAGAACACGGGACAGGTCCTGACTTACGTCAGCACAGAAATACACTGCCCTTCTCAAAAGTTGTGGAGAGGAAACCTGACATCATCCTCTTGCACTGGAGCCCAGCATGTGCTTGCCCAGGGGACTATAACTTAGGCTGGCCTCAAGGAGGTAAGTGGTAGTAGCCTCATGTAACATTCCAGAAACTTCTATATGTGCTGGCATCATCAAAGGGTAGCCATGCTGTGAGACAAAAGTTACCACAAAAATCATCATATTCTAGGTGCCTTGTCAAATAAAGACTGATTCCCAGTGTTTTAAAATATGCTGAGTTTCTGTCATACACCCAAGAGAACTGAAAAGCAGCAGAAATTTCACAATTACTTTCAGGTGAAACTCCATGTTATAAGCAATGTTTCCACATGAATACACACCTACAGACAATGCCTGGGGGACGTATCATGCAACTCCCAGCCTCGCAGATGTCCTTAAGACTCCATTCTCACATTTGTGTCTTTGTTGTGTTTTATGACGATGTTTTCATCTAGGTTATATACTAATGGTCATTGGTTTAGCTCATCTAATAAAGCTATCTTAGTTACGGTCACATGGAAGAGGACTCCATTTTTATGTTAATTTTTGACCAGTTCATTTGCCATTGGAGGCAACTATGATCTTACTAGAACATAGCCTGCTGGTTCTATGCATGTCAGAGTAAGCAAAGTAGCCACTGGGTTATCAGCTGCCTTTGCTACATACAGCCGGCTCCACACTGGATGCTGAAGCAGTAGCATCCAGTAGTAATTTCCTCATCAGCAGCTTAGCTTAGCTGCTGATGAGGAAATTACCCCTGCCCGCCCCCATCTATAATCCTGCCAGGAGCAACAGTTTCTTAGGCAGCTGAGATGAAGAAGGCAAAGGGACGGGAAACATGCATTCTCAGGCAATAATGGAAAAGATAGTCTATTCTTGGACAGGAATGCAGAAACTTTGGTGGAACAGAGGGAAGTGTTGTTGTGTGCGTTTTCCTGAAGAGACACACTATATATTCACCCAAGATAAGGCCCTAGCAGCAGAGCAAAGAAAGTTCCCACCCAGGTCTAGCTTAGAGCACAAGGGAGTTTACTGAGGTTACTTACAGGAGCAGGGATGACTCAAGGTACCTGTATCACCAGAAAAGATCACATCCCTACAGTTCAATGCATAACTAGCAGTTTGGCTGGTTGAGGGCCTTCATAGCTGTTGATACTGAGTATGTAACCTCAGGGACGTTTTTATAAATGCTTTAAGATTCAGGAACTACCTAAGCCAAAAAGTTTCAGATTGTGGGGATCACTTTGTCTGTAGATCTGTGCATTCTTCCAGCTGCTTCCTTCAACACTAAGCACTTCATTTTTCTCAGGGAGTTCCAGCTTTGCAGCACGAAGCTACCCTGCTGCCCACTGGCTCGAATGCTCCTAGTCATAAGACTAACTCAAGGGCTTATTTCAAAGGCAGCATCCTGAGCCACCCTCCCCGCACGTAAGCAGGAATTTGGTAGGCTGATTAGGTAAACAGCCCATCACAACCTGAAGAAACAGGACATCTGGACACTTGTTCTTCTATTCTGCAGCAGGCTTTCCAGAGGGTACAGAGACCAAATGCCTCGGGTCAGAGAAGCAAGTCAGTCAGTGAAGTGTTTTTCATGTAAGCATAAAGACCTGCATTTTATCTCCAGAGCTCTGTGAAAACAAAACAATAACAACGACAAAATAAAACAAACCAGATCAGGCACTGTGCTTGCTTGTAATCCTAGCTCTGGGGAAGTGGAAAGAGGCGGATCTTGGAGCTCACTGACAAACAGCCCGGCCTCTTTGATGAACTATAAGCCAGGGAGAGACCCTATCTGAAAAATAATAAGGTGGCTGGCACCCAAGAAACAGCACCCAAAGTTGACCTCTGGCCTCTACATGCACACACACCTGAGCACGAATGTGCACCTACAAACAAACACAGAATACACACATACACATAAGAAATCAAGTCTCCATAGCGATACTTCCTTATGCTGTATCGGCACCGTAGCTGCCATTTTTCCTGTGTAATGTTTTGAGAAGAGAGGCTGGGGATGATTTAGCTCGCCCACCTGAACCTTCTGTCCTTACCCTCTCACCTCACCTACACTTCAAACTCCTGGGTGGACGTCCTGCTGGAAACACACCCCTCTCGCTTGCTAAAGCATTGCTACCCATTAGGGACCTGGGCCTCCTACTCAGAGACTCTACACTCTGGCGAGTCAACTCAACTTGAAGATTGCCAAGCCATTTCACTTTTGTCTTGAAGCTAATTCGGTAATACCTTCTAGTGTGTAGAAAAGGTGGTAAAAGCACACTCAGTGGCTGTCAGTTTTGTTAGCAGACGTTATCACTGACATCTCTCTGAGCTGTTTCTTTGTTCATGTTTACTGTCTTATTAGTAATCTTTAAACCTGCATTTATTTGGGAGTAAATCTTTAATTATTTAAAACTCATCTTTTATACACGACTTCTTTTTCAATCTTTTTTCCTTTCTATCTTACTTTGTAGTTATCTTTATTTATACTTCTGGGTGATTCTAAATTCCTCAATTTGCTTCTCACCTTCTTTGAATATTTTCTCCTTTATCTTCTGCACTCACCTTTAGATGCTGCTCTTTGCCTCTCCTGCTGCTGATTTATACTCCGTCTTTATTTTCAGGCATACTGTGTTCCCTTTAGAAAATTTTTATCATTTTATCTGATTCTACCATTTTCATCACATTTCTGTAACATTTACAATTTTCTGTCTGGTTTTAATTTTCATTTGTAGTTTATTCTAGGTCCTTCCTCCATGCTGTATAAATAGCAGAGAGACTGATCAAGAGAGAACTTGCCCAGAGTGTCTGGCTAATGGCTCTAAGTAAGAAGCTACTTCTGTTATTACCATCACACCAAAGGGAGAAAAGCCCCCATCCTATGAAAGAAGAGAACCTCTACAAGGGCTTACCAGAACACAGTAGCCTCCAAACCCATGTCACAAATGTGATGGCAGTACCTGTGAGCAACTTGTTCCTTGGCCTTTATCTGAAAGGAAACATGAAAATAAAATGAAAAGAGAAGCGCTGAGAAAGGGAACATAGTGCCTATGCAAACGTGATGGAGGAGGGTCATCTTTCTATCTGTTGTTTCATTGGTTAAATAAAGAAACTGCCTTGGCCCATTAATAGGACATAAAATTAGGTAGGCGGAGTAAACAGAACAGAATGCTAGGAGAAAGAAGCTGAGTCAAGGAGCTTCTCCTACCAGACACAGACGCAGGTTAAGATCTTCCCTGGTAAGACACCTCGTGGTGTTACAGGGATATTAGAAATGAGTTAGATCGATATGTAAGAGCTAGCCAATAAGAGGCTGGAACTAATGGGCCAGGCAGTGTTTAAAAGAATACAGTTTCCGTGTAATTATTTCGGGTATAAAGCTAGCCATGTGGTCGGCCGGGGTGCTGGGGAAGCAGCCCCGCCGCTCCTATTACAACACAAACGGAAGGACAGACTTCTGAAGTCAGCACACTGTGAGTGTGCTGGGTAATGACTCAGGCTCAGCTATGCCAACCTCAATTCTGGCTCTTGACACAAGCAGTGTATGTGTGTATGTTTTGTGAGTACATATAAACCTATATGTGTATTATGTGAGTGTATGTGTACATATGTGAAGATGTTTATATATATATATATGTATGTATATACAAATCAGTGTGTATGTATGTGCCTTTATATTGTCATATATGCTCTTCTACGTAACCAAGATGAAAAGTTTCCCTGTCCTCATACATTTTAAAACACCAAATAACTTGGCTGACTACCTGTTGTTTGGTGCATGTTCCATCTGGAGTCTTGGAGTTTATATTTTTGCTACATTGCGCAGGAGCTTACTTCACCTTTTAAGCTTTAAGTTTGTTTGTTTTTTAAACACAACTCTACTCCAACAAAAGAGAAAAAAATCCCAATCTTCATACTCAATTTCACCTTGTCAAAACAGCAGCTTTGAGGGCAAAACCACAGTTTATCCCACAATCTGTTTCTTCCTCCAGCATTCCCAGTAGCGCAATCTTCACTAGAGTTCACAGTGACAGCAGACAAAGCTTAGCCTCAAGGGTCTGCTACTGAGACGCTGTTTTCTTCTCTCACTCAGTAGATGTTTTGAATGTCAGCATCTGGGGGCTCAGCTTCTGGAGCAGGCCTCTCTTGGTGGCACAGACTGCTCAGTGTCTGGAGCAGGTCTCTCTTGGTGGCACGGACTGCTCAGCTAAAGGACTGAAATGCTCACAGGCTTCCATTTGGCAAGAGTCCATAAAGCCGGTGTGTGAGTCAATGATAAGGACCAGGGGGCTACAAGCTGCCTCTCGTCATTTCCAGAAAAGAACTGCAAGAGAATCTGTCTGTCCTCAGGTCCCCAACCCCAATGGAAGGAACACTTGCAACTCTCTTTGCTTTCCAGAGTGAGTGTCAGCTAGAGACCCAACACTTATCTTCTCCTGTCCTGAGAGCAGAAAAATGACCCCCTGGGAACTTAGTGCCTAACCTGCCAGTGCTCACTACCTGATGGGCCAAGTAACTCAAGAGGTCAAGAGGCTGTAGCAGGAGAGGAATGCAGGCTTGGTGCCAGATCACCCAGGTCTGAACTCCTTCCATTTTACCCGACTCTTCATAGACATCCAGCTCTCTATCTGGCAAAACACGGAGCCATTTGTACCCATGGGTGGCAAGGCAAAGGCAATGGCCTTGTGTTGGGTGGATCTTGCAGATGTCTCAGAGAGAGAGAAGCATGTACCTGTGCTTTCACTCCAGAAAGAGCCCCCTAAGGAGAGTTTTCAAAGACAGGAAGAAGCAAGGGGGAAAGGCAGAGTGTGAACCCAGCTAGACTGCACGCTTCTTGAAGAGGGGATGGCTAATACATGCCATGGTTGCATTCCACTGCAGCCCTGAACATCCAGAGGAGCTCATAGTCTGCTCCAAGGACCACAGAGCTGCAGGATTAGCTGCAGTGGCCTTGGCTTCTGATTCAAGCCTTACTTGGCTTTCTGACGAGCCTCCTCTCCTCAAAAGCCTGCTTCCCTACCCTAAACAGCTCATAGTGTTTAACCAAAATCCACTTGCCCTGCTCCAATGCAGGAGGCGACTCCAGGTTGTGAATGAAGGGGGCATGCTATTTGGGCTTATTGTGCTAATCATGCCACTGACTCTCGGTCTATCTGAAGAATTGCACTCTGTGTTTGCACACACATTTAGGGCTTTCTGAGGAGGACAGGGCTAATGAGGTTGACGTTTCTCAGAGATCTACAAGACAAAGGAGCCCTTGGGTCATCAACTTGTCCACCTGGGATTGCACCATCTGCTTGTTTCCCTCCGTTCCTGGAACTTCTAGCTCATAAACAGCTGACATGAGCCTCCTCTGGCCCTGACACGGCTGCTTTCACTGGTGACCTGCTGATCAACAACACCGAGCCATGCTGTTTGCTTATCCTCAACAAGGACTTCATGATCTTCGCTCCCATTTTTATGTCCACCTCATCAGCCTCCCTCAGCAGCCTGCAAATGAACTGCAAATGCTTTTCAAGGCAGTGGCAGAAAATAGCTCAAACAGTGACTGAAAATGATTAACCTAAGGACATTAAAGAGACACAAGCTCATAACAGAAAGATGCCCTGTGGAGTATTGTGTACACTTAGGTACGTTCAGCTGGAAAAAGTGGTTAGGAACAGAGCGCTTTAATTGACTTAATTTAAACTCTGATGACTCGAGCATTATAAACAAGAGCTTTCTCTGTGCAGCAATAGCACTCAATTAGATTAAATTGCCTGGTGATTAATTAATTTAGGACAGTGCTCACTGAGAAATTGCCATCGATACACATCTGTCAAATCAATTTGCCACAGATTGTCAAGCCTCTGGGGTCTGGGCAGTACAAATCCAGGGACACTCATTCAGTAAGTGACCCCTTGCTCTTTTAATTTAAAATTCCATCATGGCCAAATTTCACAAACTGCAGATGGAAAGAAAGAGCAGCTCATCTAGCTGGCCAGTTCAGAGGTCCCCAGGAAACTACATTAGCTCTTGGAGAGGGTGTTTACTGAGAAGAAAGAGTCACAGAAACTGAGGGTATACAAACCCCAGTGAGTGACCAGTGAGTTGGTTCTTTTCTGAGCAGTACGTCTAGACGAGGTTATTTCATTCTACAGCAAGCCCACGGAGCCGACGTTGTTCCCATCTTGCATGGGCAGATAATGAGAGTTCACCTAGGCTGTCTTACAGATAATATCCAAAGACTTGTCCACGCTCAAGGACCCAGCCCCTGCAAACAAAGGACAAAGCCAGGCCTCTCCTCCCTGGTGTCATGTGCTCCAAAGCTTTGTGTGCATGAGTTCATTAGATGCCTCTGGTTTTGAAGAAACATTCCAGAAAGGTTAACTACATTCAGCAAGTTCACAAGGTGACCAGACACTAGGCTGGGATTGAGGAACTGTGTGTTATTTGCCTGTGGATTTATGTCCCACGCTGAGGGAAAAGACTGAGGAGAAATTGGACCTCAGCGACCAAAAGGACAAGAGTAACTTGTTTTTCTTTTCTTTTTTTTTTATTTTTCCATTCAAATATTTACACTTCCTTCCCTCCTCCCAATCCCCTCCCACTCCCCCACTCACCCTCCTCCCTCCCCCTCCCTGTGTGAGAGAAGGTCAGGAATCCTACCCTATTGGAAGTCCAAGGCCCTCCCCCCTATATCCAGGCCTAGGGAGCTGTGCATCCATATAGACTAGGGTCCCAAAAAGCCAGAACATGTTGTAAAAACAAGTCCCAGTGCTTTTATCAATGGCTTCTCAGTCATCCCCCATTGTCAGCCACAATCAGAGAGTCCGGTTTGATCACATGCTCGTTCAGACCCGGTCCAGCTAGATTTGGTGAGCTCCCATTAGAACAGGCACACTGCCTCAGTGGGTGGACCAACCCTTCGCGGTCCTGACTTCCTTGCTCATCTCCCTCCTTCTGCCCTTCAAGTGGACCTTGGGATCTCAGTCCGTTGCTCTGTCTCTATCTCCATCCGTCTCCGGACAAAGATTCTATGGTGATATTCGAGATAATCATCAGTGTGATAGTGGGGCAAGGACAGTTCAGGCTCCCTCTCCTCTGCTGTCCAAGGACCTAGCTGGGAACATCCCCTTGGACACCTGGGAACACCTCTAGAGCCAAGTCTCTTGCCAACCCTAAAATGATTCCCTTAATGTAGATATCTTCTTCCCTGCTCCTATATCCGCCCTTCCTCCATCTCCACCCTCCCACTCCCCCAAGCTCTTGCCAGTCCTTCCCTTCTCCCTTCCCTTTCCTCTCCCCACCAATGATAGCCTATGCTGGAGAGGATGTGGAGTAAGGGGAATACTCATCCATTGCTGGTGGAAATCCAACCTTGTGCAACCACTTTGGAAATCAGTGTGGTGGTTTTTCAGGAAATTGGGAATCAACCTACCTCAGGATCCAGCAATACCACTCTTGGGAATATACCCAAGAGATGCCCAATCATACTACAAAAGCATTTGTTCAACTATGTTCATAGCAGCATTATTTGTAATAGCCAGAACCTGGAAACAACCTAGATGCTCCTCAATGGAAGAATGGATGAAGAAAGTGTGGAATATATACATATTAGAGTACTACTCAGCGGTAAAAAAAAAAAAAAAAAACCAAAACAATTACATCTTGAATTTTGCATGCAAATGGATGGGAATAGAAAACACTATCCTGAGTGAGATAACCCAGACCCAAAAAGATGAATATGGTATGTACTCACTCATTTGTGGACTCTAGCCATAAACAAAGACATTAAGCCTATAGTTCACAAGCCTAGAAAAGCCAAATAACAAGGTGAACCCAAAGAAAAACATATATAGATCCTCCTGGAAATAGGAAGCAAACAAGATTGCTGGGAAAAAGTTGTGAGCATGGGGGTGGGGGCAAGGGTGAGGGTGAGGTTGGGGGAAGGAGTAACTTGTAAAGAGAGGTCTATGCCTGATGTGGGGGCAGGAAGTATTGGGGTATG